AGAGTAGATTCATTCCATGTATTATTGCTGTCCTCTACTTTAAATTCCTACAAAATAACCAAAACATTGTAATATATATCTTTCACATCTTAGTAATACTATAAATGTGAATTTTTGGATGGATGGATCTTTGTTAGTAGGTATCTTCAGAACAGCTGAACGGATCTCAATAAAATTTGGCATAGGTGTAGCGTGTAGCTAAGACTTCTATTCTTTGTCTTATGAAATGACTTTACTTGATAAAATTACTAGCAAGTGTTCATATTACTGTTGTTGTTTGTAGCAATACCTTTGTGTCATTCCAAAGCATGAGACGGGCATTGGGTAGATTCCCAACACCTAGATCTGCAGCTAAATCTGCAGATGTTACAACAGCAAAACATATCTCTCCCACTGTATCAAACTCCCGTGACTTTAGAGCCACATTGTACCATGTGTTATAATATCTAGATGTGTCACTTAATGGTGTATAACCAACAGCCACAGCCTGTAAATAAATAAGGTTGTATTATGTTTACAATGAATATTTTTCAAGAGTAATAATTATTATTACTATTAAGTAAAGTTGAACCAAGATAATCGAGAACTGGATAAACAAAAATCATTGTATGAACCCAAAGGGCAATCTCCTTATGTAAGAAATTTGTTAATATTGGTTAGAGAGAAACCACTATTAGTGGCAAAACATTGTGGTCTTATTTGTCCAGTTTTGACTGTATGTTATGCTTTTCATCCATTTTGAAAAATCTGAGACAACAAATCATATCAAACATTGTGGACAGCATTTCATGTGATAGTTATGTAATTGTAAAATATTTTATTATAAATAAAATATTTATTGCTTCAACATGACCAGCGCGAGGCTATTACTTTGATGACATACTACACTTGGTATAGTTTTTTTATTTTGCTATACTTAAAAGATAACTCTTTTTAATTGTAATATTTTACATAATAATATACTTACATCATGAATAGATAAATAATGAACTAGATCTTCAGTTGAAGATATTCTTACTAAAGGCTTCATAATCAATTCCAAAAAATTAACCATACTATGTGCATCTTTAGGACCTGAAGTGTAATGAAAAATATTATTAATGTTAAAAAAGGAGCAAGTGTACAAAACATGAAATTTAAGTAACCCACAATGAATAGAAAACAAAAATATGACATTTTAGAATCAAGTTAATTGTCTATAAATAAATATTTAGACATGGTTTTTCATCACAAAATCAATCTCTTTTTCTTTCAGCACTCACAGAAAAAAATTAAACATTTTTATAATAGTACCTTTATAAAGAACCCCTCTAGAATTAACTGTATATGCCATCAGAATAGGCCATGATGGAATTTTGTTATGTTGTAATCTACATTCACTGCCTGGATTCCAGCAATTGATGGCTGAAAAATGAACCTAAAGAAAATAGAGATAAAATCCATCATGAACAGTTATGTTATTTTCATTTATAGTTACCAAAAAAAGTTAAGAACATACTCTATCTTTTAAAATATTAGCAGCTAGCTCAAACTCTCCTCTAACAAACTGTGATTCAGCATCCCAAGGGGCATAGTACATTATGAAAGACACATCAGCAAGATTCACAGCAGCCAAAGCATTGCCCAGCTGCCCTCTGTACCAATCTGTCACCACTGATCCTGAATTAAAAAACCTCATTGCTTGTGGATGCTTTGACACCTTTGATGGCCTGAAATAGATATTTTTATAATTATTAAATGACTAATAATCTGACTTTTCTACTGATACAAGAAAAACATTAATAAAACAATAATTACGTGTTATGAAGGGCTCCATAAGTCGTCAATGCCAGAGCGATGAAAAAGACCATTTCCTTTATCAACATATTGATAGTTAACTCCCTGTTATAGTTTTGTTGAGTCTCTGGAGAATTTTCAGACGAGTCTCGCACATCGCTAGAAACACTCGGTTTTTCTTTTAATGACGTGACCTGCGAAATATCTTCGGAGTCCACCGTTGGAAACATTACACGTCATTCGAAAACAATATTGATATTGAATTAAGATTTACAATTAAATTATTTGAGTTAACATTTTCTAAACGAGTTAGTGTTTGTATATGGCGATTTTTAACTAAGTTAATTATAAAAAACATAATAAACTTTGTTTTAAAACTCAAGTTCCAACATCTTTTTGACAATTTAAATGTCAAATCAATTTGAAACGTCAATTTTGACAATCAAGCAGTATTGCCATAAAAATACCATTCGATTGAAGCAGAAAATCAAAGAGATTTACAAAACCTACAATATCATGGTCTCATTCACCATCATCTTCAGCTCACTATACGTCCCCACCGAGGGGCTCGGAGCCTACCCTAAGTTAAGGGTGATTAGGTCTCATTACGACATTATTATTATTAGTATAAATATAAAAGATTTAAGCAGCTGGCAAGTGAATAAATAAATCTTTAATTTAATCCAATGTTATAGGTTTTATTTTCATTTTGGTGACGGTAGAGCTAATAAAAATGAATTCATTGAGAAAGAAATGGGTTTATTTGATGAGTTCTAGTAATTCACAAAACCGATACTGCTGTAAAATCTCCTTGCCGCTTTAATTTATCTACTGTTCGACCAAAGCATTCCAAACGCCATATTCCATAGAGTCTAACTCTTATATGGTATCATTGTCTGACTGAATATTTTTTATCTATCAAACAATTTGCCTTGTTTTGGTCTAAACTAGGAAGTTGTGTCACAATTTTGCGTTATAAATTATAATGCCTGATTCATAATATTATAGCAAAAGGTCAAAATAAATTTTTCAATAAAATACTCATATCAAACGTTCAATATCCTGTCAATAATTGTTTCATAAGAATTCTATTAGTGTCCGTTTTAAGCCTCAGTAAATATGGAATCTCCTAGACAGTTAGAAACGGACACTGTAGAGTTTTGGAGGAAACAAGCCAAATATTACGAACAAAAGTAAGGCCGTCCATTATTCCTCACAAGTTTGTATGAAATTACTGATTTTGCAGTTTTTTCTTATCATAAATCTTTGCAGGGTTATCGACATTCAGCAAGAATTAGACGAGTACACAGAAAATTCAGCACAACTTGAAAAGGAATTGGAAGCATCATTGGTACAAGTTGAAAAACAGAATAGAGACCTAGAACACCAAAATCAACGATTAAAAAATGACATTGATATATTGAGGGTATGTTTATTTGATCATTATTAAATTATTGGATTTTGTTTGAATAACTGGTTAAAAAGTATAAAATATATCATAGCAATGTTATTAAGAAGAACATATTAATCTTTTTAGAAAAAACTGGAGCGAAGTCAACATGAAACCAATGCATTGGAAAGTGAATTACAGGCATTGAAAATAGAAAAGGAGAAACAAGCAACTTACATAAGAGAAATTGAACAGAAAAATGATGATCTGGAAAGAGGACAGAGGTGAAGTTTTACTTAATTGAAAAATTTATATAATTATCAAATTTATAAATCATGTAAAAGTATTAAAGTATTAAGTTTGGTGATAATCTCAAGATATGCAGGCATAATTTTAAGGTCTTTCAATTGATCAGTTCAACTTATATTGATAGTAAAGATGTTCATATGTAATGTTGATTATTTTTCAGAGTCATTACAGAGTCAGTTTCTTGTATAGAAGCTCTATTAAATCAGGCATATGAAAGAAATGCGGTACTAGAAAGTGAAGTAGATGAAATAGAAAACTTGAGAGTGAAACTCCAGAGAGCTAATGATGAAGCTAGAGGTAAATCTTTAAAAAATTACTTGTCTATTTTCATCTTCAACCTCAGTGTTTCCGTGATGATGATGACAATATAGATATATGCCTAATATTCTCTTTGAATAAAACGGAGACAACAATAGAGTCAAAAGACATGGCAGTAGTATTCCAAAGTTACTTAGAGTTTTATGGTTGTTTTTGACAATCTTTTAACATAAAGACAATTCTTTATGTGCAATCACACTAAAGTAAAATCATTATTGATTGAATGGAGCAATAAGATTGTAAGTTCTTTTGACTATGTGAATTGAATTTTAAAATATACTATTGTGTATTTTCAGATCTCAAACAAGAATTAAAGGTAATAGAAAAGGTACCGGATTATAAAAAGGAAGATGGAAGCATTGAAAATGTATGCAACGGACATATCTCTAATACATCTCGCACTCAAGTTGAAATAGAAACTCAAACATCTTTAACAACACCACAGAAGCGTAAGTTACCTTTTAGTTTTTAGTTACATATACATAATTTTTTGATTAGCAAATTAAAAAGATATTAAGAATATTAAGTCTGATTTTTTCATGTTAGTTGTTTTAATAAATGGTTTCTTTAATTGCATTCAATTGGTAATTTTTTATGGATTATTATGTAACCTCATGGAATGCAAGTTAGGCAGAAAAAGAGAAAGAGAGATTCTTTTGAAAATAATTGTACTCTTTATAATATAAGTAAGATATAATAACATTTAACAGGTGAAATCAATGGTAATGCAATGACACCCTCTTCCCGTGTCACCGCTATCAATATAGTTGGAGATCTGCTCAGGAAAGTAGGGGTGAGTGAAACAAAATTATTTATTCTTATAACAGTGGTAGTTGTTGTTGCTATAATGTCAGTAGTTTATTGGCAAACAATAATATGACAGTAGTGCAAAAGTATATTGTAAATAAAGATTATATATTTATATATGACCAATAAATTATTTTATATATGTAATTATTTATGTATAAAATATGTATCTATTTTATGTAATACTGAATTCTATAAGAGGTTGAGTATATTTTACGGTATTGTTAGATATATTTTAATATATGTAATAGTATTAAAAAGCCTAAATATGTGTAGTAATTCATATAAATCAAGTAGTTTTGGAAAAGTATTAAGAATAAAGTATTTTCATACAATTTTCTTTAATTACAATGTCCTGTAATTATTGTTATAATGAAGATGGCTCACTTTGTATTATCATATAAGAATGAACAAACATTTGTATGTTTATACACAACATCCATTTAAGTTCCCTATTAAGATAAGTGACGCCAATAATTATGAAAACTGAGTTTCTCCTCTCTGTGATTGACCTATTTATTGATTGAACTGATTTAACCTTAACTTATGATAAAGTTATACATCCAGTAGATATAATTTAGTGTACTATATTTGTGGACATTTTTAATAGTTTTTTTGGATACAAAGCCATATTTATTTTTTAGGGACTTTTTGTTTTTCAATTTATATAGCTGAGACCTACTAAACAGTTTTTATTGTTTTTCAAAATCCTAAGATTTTTTGATAAAAATAATTTTAATTTGTAAATAACTTTCATTCGAGACATTATTAATAGTGCTTTATTTGCCTAGCTTTAGATTAAAATGTAAATATTTTAGCCTTTAATTTAAATCACAGTATCACTGACAGTAGATAAATTTTGTAGAATTGTGCTGTTTTTGCATGGTTTTATTTATGTAGTTTGCATGATGTTTATTGCTTTGCAGCTTGAGAGATTTCTTTGCCGTGAGTGTGGTAAGGTCAAATGCTCATGTAGTGCGGTAACCGTCCAACAGACATTGGACAACGTAGCTAGTACTAAGGAGACTAAGAACGATAGTGAAGAATATGTTGTGGAGTACAGGAAAACTAGAGAATTAACAAGACAGTTATCTAAATCTGAACAGCCTGATGATATACCAAAGAAACCACCTCGGAATAGTCTGAATAGGTCATCCGAGCCATTTGAAAGATCTGGTGATAGTGGAAAGTTGCGAAGATCTTTTGCAGTACGGTCTAGAGAGGGACTAGAGAATTTGTTGAATTTCGCTTCGATTCGCAAAGGACATGAGCAAGGGAAAGCAAAACAAGGGTTGAAATGAAAAGTGTACTTTAATGTACAAAATTTTTTTATGATTTTTTATTTATAAATTACTTTATTGTAATTTTAAAATGTAAAGTACTCTAATGTAACGCCAAATTAAATTTACAACAACAAATTAATAATGAACTTTTTCGATTGATTTACATTTTTATCAAAAACTATTTATATATTTGCGGGCTAGTAAAAATAATAATAGCCTCATATAGCTTTAAATTAGATTTATATACAATTTAGTATGTATTGTATGTATATAACACAATACGTTTTTACAATAACAATATTAAAAAGTGTGTACAGGTGGTGGGTACTTTATAATTTTTTTCAAGTAAATTACCAAATATTTACAAAACTATTTAATTAAAATGTAAATGATGCCATTTAACAAAAAGCATTTCAAAGACAAATAAAATTGTTTTAAACAGTGCCATAAAACAGAAGTGCTGAGTGTAGCTATTAATATTGTGTTTATAATTTCAAGCGATTGATTTTTAATTATGTTATATAAAATATAAACAATTGCAATTCTAATAATACCTAGTAGTTACATAAGCTGATATGTGTACCACAAAGTTTTGGTGCTAGAATTATTGTGTAAACGACATATACAACTGTGTGACTTAGTATATAATAGGATATAGCAGAAATAAAGGTTAATAAATATAGATAATATTAAGTAGTGTTTAAATCATTTATATATTTTTGTAATTAGCTATTTTGAATTAATGATGATAATGTAGGTTAAACAATTATGTGAACGTTACTATGTTATTTCATAGTTTTCACAACATCCTTTATGTCAATTGTATATATCATGTTTGTCTATGGTATATCATCGTGTCTTGTTTTTCTACGTATATCTGTGGCACGTGTCGTAGGTGTCGGTTTAACAACGCTTTCTATTTCAGTCATATACTAATATTAACTCCATTCATATTGTGTACTTTTCTTCATTGTAGGCTTTGGAATCAAAGTTAGCATCGTGTCGTGGTACAGTTAGACCTAAAGAGCATTCACCAAATCCCAGCTCAGACGTCAATAAGGACTACAGGTGTGTACTCAAGAACTAGAATACCATCGACAATCCACTACGACTAGCAACACTGTGTTAGCTATTGTAGCATAGATTATAAATATTCTTACAACAGCTTCACGTACACACGTTTATATAAATCGTATATGTTGTGATCAATATAATATTTTCCTAATTAAATAATATCTGTGATGATTATGAAGTAATTAAGGGAAAAATACTTAGTAAATGCTAAATTTTTTTGGGCTACCCACCGGAGACCTCACAGTTGTGGCAAATATGCTTGCTTTACACTGTTTATATCAAAGTAACATCCATGCTAATGATCTTATAAAGACACACACAAATATCTTGTCCTTATTGCTTGTTGATCTTTGACTATAAACGTAAAAATACAAAGAAATTGCAACACCCATAAAATGTGTGTGTTGGGCTCACGGTATTTGTTTATCGTCTCGTCTATTTAAGGTGGATAAATATTTTGGAACAATGATTTTATGTAAATATTAAGTGTATAGCTATTGTGTATGTTAAAATTACAAATTTTTATCATCTTGGATAATAAATTTTATTGTTTACATACAGTTCATTTGATAGTTTAAAAAGGAATTATATAAAACATGTATTTATATAAGTAATCACATTTATAGAATTTACATTTAATTTCCATAAGAAATAATGAATTACCTTAAAAAAAATTAACTAAGATTGTTGGGTGTTTAGGCAATTTAAATATCTATTTATTTGAAGTGTCGATTTTTTTTTATAATGATTCGCATAACTCCACTCCATTTTTTATTTACGTTTGTCCAAAGTTCAGTTCATATATCCACGATAAATTACAAACTTTACAAACATTTGAGGCACTATTCTCCTACATAGATATTACATGTTCTAGTCTGTAATTTGTGTTTGTAACAGTGTGTGACTAACAATTAACTTAAATAGCCAATTTTAATAATATGTTTTTTAAAGCTACAATTTTAATAAATTTCCAAGCTATAAAATATTTGTTTGTGTGATGTTGGCCTTATTAACATTTGTGATAAACATATATACTAGCTCATTATTTACATTCCTGTAAATCAGAACATTAAATAACTTTGGATGTTTGATGTTATACAACATGTTAATTTATGAGTTTTCATTGTTTTACAAAAATAATTCTTGCCTATAAATAATATTGATGTAGATGCATTGAGAATAAAATATTGGTACTAACCATAAGTGTGAAATAAAAATAAATATGCGCAAAATTTATGTAGTTTAATACTATTGGACTGCATTAAATATTCTCGATTTTAAAAATATTCAACGTGTTATAATATTTGATATTCTAAAACGACATAATGAAACATTGTGTTTCTATGTAAAATGTATTAACAAAATTTGATTTTCTATTTTAAAAAAGAAAATTGTATATATATGTTTTGTGGTCATAATATATAATAGTATTTTATATAATCTCTTTAAAAGTCATAACAAACATGTTTCATTGCATCATGAAAGACGGATTGTTTTAACTTTCTTATTTAGATTGAAAAAGTCCATGTCTCAGTTATGCGGTGTACCACACATGAAATAATTGGTGATTGGCTTTACAAATTTATAATAAGTTTTAGTTATAGGTATGCCTTTCGATTATTATTTGTATAAGAAAAAAAAAATTGCCCAGTCCGTTGCAATAGTATAAGCAACTACGCATTTATACAGTGACCAGACCAATTTAATTTGTGCGCAATTATTTACGATAATAAAACTAAGTTGAGGCATATGATGTGTTTTATTGATGTTTATTATTATTATAAATAAATTTTAGTTTTAAGAAACCTTATACATAAATAAAATTCTCATGTCACAATGTTAGTTACTATAGTCCTCTGAAACGGCTTGACTCATTTTTATGAAACTTTATATGCATATTCAGTAGGTTTGTAAATGGGCTGCTATGTACTTCTCCGTGCTGTCGGAGTCGCGGGCGACAGCTAGTGAATTATATTATTTGTTTTCCAGTAACAATATTCGATACAATATTACTCCATTCGACATGTTTTGATACCTCCACTGGGGGTTTGAAGTTATTAATTAAATCTTGCAATGAAACTGTTAACAATTTGATTTGTAACACTAAAAGAGATGTCTCATCATTTTTCACTACTTCAAGGAAGACATTTCCTGGAAAGCAAGATAGGGTTTAAGTTAAATGTGTCACATTATTGATGTAACCAAGACTTTTCTCTGCCAAAACATATGGTCAACTCTGTAATTGTCTATGATCAGTGATAATACGTTTTTGAAGAAATATTATAGCACTGGAAGTCAGTTATTTAAATCAACATTGGCATTGTATACATTGAAATTATGTATCTACAGAAATATTAAAGGAAAATCAAAATGTAAGTCACCTGCAACTTTTGTTGATTTTATTATCCATAAAATAAAAACATATAGTGGCAAAGTTTGTACTAAATATATACATTTGGCAAGTATATATTGAACCAGCATTGACAACACTCGAAACTGAAAATAGAACAAGACTATATTATGCATATCGTTTAGAAAGACACAAACAATTAATGGAAATATTTTTTATACTTACCATAGTAAATACTGTGTAATACATAACAGTTGTAGGTAATAATAATAATAAAATAGTGAATGCAACCGTTCCCACAAATAGTTCTTGATTTGTGTATTCACATGAATCTATGCCACCTCTTAAAGGATTGTATTTTCTACCAACAAACAATCTTAACAATGCAATCAATCCAGATATTTGAATGTTAAACAACCTGAAATTTTAGAATAAATATGTACATCTAAAAGAAATGTAATATATATACATGTTTTTTTTAATGTACTAGTAATACTAATAGACTCTATTATTTCAGATACCATGGATTTTTGAGACCAAAATCCCAGTTTGTAACACATTATTATCTCTGTTTTGTCAAAGTTGAAAACAAATACAGAGTTTTTGGTCTCAGAAACCCAAGGATAGTAACATATCTCTGTGCCAAAACTAATAAACTTTTATTCATCCAAGCTTTCACATATTTATATTTGTAATAGTGTTTTTTATGTATTACCTTGCAGCATACACATAAATACAATATGAATGAAATGTTGCGACGCAAATCATATCTGCTATTATTGCAGCTTGAAATGTGAAACCTAGGTAACCAATGTATCTGTACAAATGTAGTATAACATTTAATTTTTCACCAGAAACATCTGAAAACAAAACAAAATCATATAATCCGAAGTATTTTTCCAGTTATGTAGTGATAAAAAAAATTAAATACCTAAAAATAACCACCAAAGTTCAATGTGATAGGAAAAATATCTTCCCAACATTTTATTAAATGCATTGTTCAGTTTAAGTCCCGCTGGAGAACCCATTAACCATTTCAACAAAGTGTACATCAGATTCACTAATTTCTGAAAAAATATATTACTAGTATCACAATCTGATTTATTAACTTCAGCTGTCAGAGTTAAAATGTAAAGTTTACCTCCAAAATACCCATTAAAAGTACACCTAAGTCTTTTTTGTCCTTTAAAAGTAACTCTAAAATAAAGTACCCAATAGTAATATCTACCAGAACAGATAAAATAAAATTTCCTTCTTTCATTGATATCTGAAACAGAACAATTGCTAACATTTATTCCATATGAAATTAATATGCAATAGTTAAAAACTAGATAATATAATTGATTGTTTCATTTGCATTTGCTATTTTGTATTACAGAAGGTTGAAATGGGACATCATTCAGGGCCATACCTTGACTACTCATTTGTTTGGTAACTAAATTAGGTGTCCAGGTGTGAAAATTTAAAAAAGTATATTAGCGTAAAGTGCGGAATTTAAAAAAAAACTTAATAAGTAGCTGATGTGTACTTTCACACTTTCTTATGTATAAATGATGGATGGTTCAATGTTTGTTCAAAGGTGTCTCTTTCCTAACTTACTTTTCTATTTCTTCTGATGGATATAATAAGCCAAATTATCATATTTAAATAATTGAATACATGTTGTATAAACATTGATGAAACTAGCCAGGAAGGATTTTGCAATGTGGCTTCATAATCTGTTCTATTTTGATCCTCTCTATAATCATTTCTCACTAAAGTTTGCAGTTCAAATATAAAATCATTACATTCTTTTAATGTTTCTGAATTTTTTATTGAATGGGGGTCATAAGAAATTATTATACAACTGTCAATATTTTTTATTTTTCTCCCATCTATACTCAAATATTGTATTTGGGGGCATATTTGATCACTTATGATCAAACAATTAGTAAATGGTTTGAATTTGAACTTGCGAGTTTCATCATTGCTATAATATCCATAAATAGCATTATCAGCCTTGATTGATGTTTCTTCAAATAGAGCATAACTCTTTGAACATTTTGTAACGTATATCGTAGTCAAATTATCTTTGTTTGTTTGAATGTATCCCTTAAAGTAAATCTCAGAATTTTCCGATTTCGGCTTTATGGGAAGAATTAATCTCAGTGATGACATGGTAGTAATAGTAAATAGCCATGAAAACACGTTAAATTACACTATTTTATTGTTTAGAGTCCAAAATAAATATATTTAATTAATAAAAAGGTGTTACATAAAAAAACTGCATTTAACAGATATTACGTTGAATTTAGAAAGAACGTAAACATTAACGTTCCCAATTTATTGATAGCGGTAGTGAAAATCATATATAATTAAAAAGAAGTAAATAAATTATATTTGTTGTCTAGTTTGCGTATTATCACCTATTTGACCATGTTTGACAGTTGAAAGAAATTCGAATGACAATGACATCCTGGCCAGGGTCTAATTGTCATCTCCTTGCAGCCACTTAATAATCATTCAATATTTTAATATAGAAAAATTGAACACAAGTGTTTTAAATTCGTATTTAAAGCGTGTCGATATCCGCATAATGATTCTAAACATTTAAAACTTGAATTAAAATAGTACACATAGTAACCATCTATAATTTTAGTAATAGACAAAATACATTAGACATAGACTTTGCCGTTCGTTCGCCATATTAATTTTACTCGTTGGCTTGTTTCGAGTACGATTACGTTACAAAAAAAGATAATAGTTTAATATTTACAGTAAAATTTCTTTTTATAACTAAGAAAGTAAAAAACATTAGAATTGAGGATAATAGCACACATTTGCTTTATATTAGGATCGCATTGAACCCAAAATTTGAAAATGTCGGCTCACGAGCAAATGAGGGCAATGTTGGATCAATTGATGGGTACGGCTCGTAATGGTAAGAACAGTATTGATACTTATTGGAACATTAACCTTTTTGTAAAAAATAAATAAATTAAGGTAATAGTTTACAATAGCGAATCATGTAGAATTTACATGAAATTGAACTTAAACGATAAGACAAAATCTCGAGCCTTAATGAATTACGACACCCCAAAAAAATTATTCATAATATTTGTATACGAAATCATTTCATGTTAAAATCAAATTTATGAAAATTAGACACGATTCTCTATTGTAAAGTTTTACTAAATTAATATAACCTTACCTTGCAGGCGAAACCGACAAACATGGGGTTAAATTTTACGACGATTCAGTATGCAAATCATTTTTACTGCAATGCTGTCCTCATGAAATATTGTCTTCGACGGTAAGTTGGCTGTTACTGATATGATTTTGGGTGATACAGGACAAGTCATATTTCTGAGATATCATTTTTAGTTATAATTGCTTTAATCATTTACTTTCTCTCTATCTTCTAAATCCTATTGCTATGTAACATCTGATTTTTAATTTTTTTTTTATAGATTAAATAACCTTTGTTGCAATGATTTCTCAGGAATATTGTGTTTATATTGCAGTGTTTTCCTTTCGTATACACTAGGATAATATGAAAGTAAATTGCACAAAAATATCCCAAAATTTAAGTTTACAGATTTTTTATTTTATTATCCTAATGTATGTGACGTCTTTACACACTTTCATCCCTTCTATTTTGCTGTACGTAGTTTCTGGAAAATTCTTACATCGGAGTGGCATTAACTGTGGTGAAATATGCTTTTCAGAAAATGCCCAACACTAGTCTTTATTGCTCATCACAATACTTAACAGATGAGGGATAGATTGTATGAGTTAGGCTGTTCTGTAAGTACCAAGATGTACGTATAAAATATTTCTAGTTAGCTGACATACTTACTGCTAAGCAGAATTTAATTTATTACTTGACTCTCAGGCTTAATTAAAATTATTTAATTCCAACGGTTACTAATGCTGCTTCGGTGAGTACATATGTTATCACGTCATTGAAAATTGTAAGCTGGGTGATATTGCTGTTATTATCTAACTACATTGGGTATGTACAATACAGTTTCATGGTTAGACTACAGAACAAATTGTTAAATATTTGCATGTAAATTACATTTAACTCAATTCAAAATACTATTAAAAATGACTGAGTCACAGACACTTATAGGGAAAAAATATTTTTAAAATTAAATATACATGAATTTTTAATACAATTGTATAATTTAGAAAGTTATAAAATGTTCTTTCTAAATTTGATCATCTTTGCTTACATAATACACTTTTTGTGCTCTTCGAATAATATTTCAATTAAGAAATGACCTAGTAGATCTAGTTACAGATAAACTGTAACTTTCTTTTAGGTAAAATGTTAAAGGTTTAAATTCAACAAATATACGGATAAGATACATTTGTTGCATCCTGATACATATTAGCTATACATTATATTATACATATATAGTTAATTTTATTTGGAACTTTTAACCATTTATAAAATAACTTCATTAGTCGCCTACTTGCTCTTCCAGACTATGTTCAACATCTATGTCAAGTTTTAGTAAAATCTATTTAACTACTAGCTGAGATATGTAAATACAAACATCCATCTGTCTCTTTTTTGCTTATGAGCAACACATTATGGTAATTATCTTTAAATTCAAATTATCTTCTGTTTGTGCTTTAATTAATTAATTGTGCCTTACAAAAGCTCACCATTCCTTCTAAATAATTCTAACTAATAATGTCTAAAACTACCTTCTTCTTCGTATTCTTCATTACTGAAGGTCGTGAACTACCTATATACCTTCAAATTTACCAGAAACACTAAATAGTCCAAATTCAACACAAATAAGTCTACAGACAGTATAGATAGCATATTAGAAAAAAAATAAAACTATTTACGTTATCAGTACATGGCACTTCCTACTTTAACAAAGTCATGGGGCGAGTCGGTCAAAATGTACAGTTTCAAAATAAAATTAATTATATATTTTGTTTAAAAATTAGTATTAATTTTATTTGTATTTCAATACTGTATCAGGTGGCATCATATTTTTTGTGAGCTGAGATGTATATGGATATGTTTTTTGATGTGTTAGAGTGTTGGCGGGCTAGTTAGGCATACGAGGGTGTTCCGCTATGATTTGTAAGTATATTAATGGTTTATTTACTGGCTGATGAACCAGGGCCAGGGTGCGCTGATTGATTGCTGGTGACATTGTATGTATTCTATAAACACATTTTTTTTTCTTGGTTACTTTAGACGGGGTGTTCTTGTCTATGGTTTATAGTGAATTTTGATTCTACATTGATGTTTAAAATATGTTGTTTAGTTTAGTAATTTTCCATATAAATGAACATACATTTTAGCACTTATTATAAGTGCCCTGTTGCTTATATACATTTATGGTTTCTAAAACAAATTGTCGACAAAAAGAAGGTGTTAACAATTTTCTACAAAAGTATGTGGTAAAGAGACATACTAAAAATGTTTTTACATGATAAACTCTGGGTTATGTGGCAAATATTGCAAGGAACAGGAAAAATTAAACATATTTAAGTATTTATCTGATGAGTAAGTTAGAGACAAATAAGGAAATGTAAATTTTGTTTTGAATTTCACTTTTATATTAAAACAATAGATTATTAATCATTTTAATATTCAGATGAAACATGAAGGAAAATCACATTACAAAATATGGCTTAATCAAAGGATTATAAAATATGTATGTATTTTGTAAATGGTTACATCAACAATTTATCAAATCTTGATTTTAGGTGTTCTTAAAACTGCGTACTACACATTATAATTCAAATACTTTTGTGTTCAACATTACCATGTTACATAGACGTGATATAATACTAATATATAAAAACTCGTTATTTTTCACGTGTTTGTAATTTTAATTGCAGCGAATGGATTTAGGTGAGTGTCCTAAAATACATGATCTGGCGCTTCGTGCGGACTTTGAGTTAGCATCGAAAACCAAAGACTATTTCTACGACATTGATGTGAGTATAATTCTTTTTTTTACTACATTTTTATATTATTTACATTGGATATTTGATATGTTTACTGATACAACAATATAAAACAAATGAGCGAATTTAACTAAAATCTTATAAATGGGAATATAGATATGGAAAAGTTGTGAGTAAATTTCTAAGACCCGAAAGCAAGATTTGTTTTCATGTATCTTATGTTATGTTTATATGATATATAAATAAAGTTTACCTTTATACTACTTTGACTTCAAGTATGTAGTTTAATTTGTAATACTGTTTGTAAAGGCTACGGAGCATTTAGAAGCGTTTATCGCGGACTGTGACAAGCGCACTGCAGCTGCTAAACAGCGGCTGGCTGAGACTCAGGAGGAGCTTTCTGCTGAAGTGACTGAGAAGGCGAATGCGGTGCACGAGCTCGCAGAGCAGATTGGACAGAAGCTCGCCCGAGCGGAAGCACTCGGCGAGGAGGGTATGGTCGAAGAGAGTGTCAAACTTATGGGAGAGGTATACTTCAATTTTTCCCATTACATTACCAATTTAATTTTATATGCTAAAGTGATTGCTCAGTGGTTATAACTAGACCAGACATTTTTTTTAATACCAAAATGTTGTTAATAATGTTGTACTATAAATTATGCGCATAGTTTTTAATATGCTCATTGAATCTTATCCGTATTTTATAATTGCCTATAATTTTTGTTTATAAAGTTTTCCGAATGTTTAGCTTGTATATAACTGAATGTACTCCCAGATCGATGAGTTGCGCAAGAAGAAGGCTGTGGCGGAGCAGGAGTACCGTAACTCTATGCCGGCGAGCTCGTACCAGCAACAGAAACTGCGCGTGTGCGAAGTGTGCTCCGCCTATCTCGGCATACATGACAACGACCGCCGCCTTGCGGACCATTTCGGCGGCAAACTCCATCTCGGATTTATAACTATACGCGAGAAACTTGCCGACCTCAAGGTAAAAGAACTTGACTATTGAAATTTCTTTGCAATATATAAGTTAGGGGACTAAAATATCTTTTAATACACATCGTGCTTGGGATGTACATACTATATGCAACAAAATAAATGCCTATATCGTGTACTGTAAATTCAGAAATTAGTGGAGAAGCGACGCGAGGAGCGCGGGGCGTCGGAGCGCGAGCGCGGTGGGGGCCGGCGGCACTACGTGGGCGGACGGGAACTGGATCGCCGCGCGCGCAGGCACCGCGAGTCCGCACGGGATCGCGACCGTGACCGCGAGCGCAAAGATGCGGACCGCAAGGAAGCAGACCGCAAGGAAGCCGACCGTAAAGACGCAGACCGTAAGGACTCCGACCGCGAACGAGAACGGGACCGCAATAAGGACCGCGAGCGCGACTACGAACGTGAACGCAGGTAAGGATTACACTAGAGGTAGAAATATCCAATGGCGGCTATTGTTTATTTATAATATTAATTCAGTGCCACCTATACACAAATATTCAGGTGATGATATTCAGAATCCGCATTAAATACGTCTTCTTATAATTGCAGACGTAGCCGCAGCCGGTCCCGCAGCAGAAGCAAGCGTGATGGGTCTCGGGAGCGGCGCGGCGAGCGGGGTGAGCGTGGGGAGAGGCGCAGCAAGTCTCACCGCCGTTCCTCCTCACGCGACCGCCGGCGGGAATAACACATCCCCCCACGTGCCCCTCACGACGACCACACGCACAAGCGCACCGAAATTGCTACGATGACACCAAACTCCAGTACTCACCACGATTTTGTCTCAAAAATGAATACCTTTTACAGAAGAGTTCGCGTACAAGCAAACAAAATTCTTCAGTCGCATTTGAAAAAATAGTGCGCGTTATGATTAATAGTTTTAACACCAAAATTGAACGTTAAATAATTTTGCATGAACATAACAGGACGGACTAAATATCATCATGGACAAAACTAAACCTTTGGTACTGATAAAAATATGGTATATGAAACGATTTTTAGCATAAAAAAAAAACTATTTGTTAAAAATTACATTTTTTATAGGTTTCTATGAAGAACCGGAGATAGCTAACATTAATTGCGCGATAAGTAGACAATAATCCTCCACTGAACGTCGATACAACGCTGTGGATTGTAATATTTGTTGACTAGCGACATCTAGTGGTATAGTCAAAACTGAATATGATTAGTGTAAGAGGCGAGTAGATTTTGATATCGTACTATAGTGAAAAAAAAAAACAAAAAAATCTATATTAAGGACGTAATTAGACATTTTTTAATCAATGCGATTAAAATACGATTTTCGGTTATTAAAATGACTTTAATTGACTTGTATTAGTAACATACATTGCGTCTGCAGTGATTGACAATCTTGCTGTTGTAATTTTCTTTATAAAATTTCGGTATTTTGTATATTTTAACATTAATCTTTTGTAAGAAACTAAAATCTTTAGTTATGTTTTTAGATGTTTTGAACTTATGTTACAGAAAAAGAATACAGATATGAAAACTGGTAATTCAATAAAACAATTTTGCGGTTGCGCTCGTGTGGTCAAAACTATGTTTTACGTCTGTGTATGAAAAATATACACAATAAAGTTGATGAATTTCAAGCCCATGCAACTTGTTTTTATCGCGTTGTATGAATTGTATGTAATTTTATTATTATTCTTGGTATTTGATAGACTAGATTTAGTGCAAAGAAAAAGTTTGGTTTTATTTGAGTCTGTAAGGAAAAAAGTTTAAGATGAATTGTTTTAGCATCTCTCTTTATCTCGTTTATTATTAGTTATTGCGTGTGAATAGTCGAATGTATGAATATTGAGTAATGTATGGCTTTGATGTGTGAAGTCATGACAATCAGAGTGGATATTTTACATTACATTTTAGAGTCGAATTACAATGCGTACGCGCACGCGAATCACGAGAGTGCTACTTTTAAAAATAAAAAACATATTAAAATATGCATTATGTGACTATATAATGGATTATGTACAAATTATAGTATTTCTTTTTATATTTATGTTATTTAATTGAACACAATTTTCACTATTGATCATTGACATATTGTGGTGTTTTTTTTCTTTTAGTAGCTTTGTCACTCTGATTCTCGTGTTTCTAATGTAAAGTTTAATTTTATTCCACTTTGGGAATGTCATAACACAATCTCTGCAAGAGAAATATACAATACATTAATTATTTAAATATATCATTAAGAGAGACCGTTTGTGCTAATATTTGTTATAATAAAAATATATTAGGAGAAATAAATGTTTTATTTTAGCCAATTAAGTTTTGCTCGTCAAAGTGTCTCCATTCTGTTTAACTGGATAATTTAAATTAACTATAGAAATGTTTATTTTCTAGGCATGAAAAATAAAAGAATCTTGTCATAAAAGAAAATTTATTTGTCGTCTCGTGCATTTCATGCTACTTACAAAAGTACCTATAGTAACATTTCATAGGTAACACAATAAAAACCGCTATTCGTGAATATAATACTAACAGACAAAGCACCAATACAATTTCTATTATAAAGAAATTACTAGCATTTTCTTGCAATGTAATCTTTCTTACACCCATAATCACTACTAAATTATTTTATACATATACAAATTTGATAGGAAATACAAAACTTCGTTCCTTCAAACGTTAAATTCCACTATCGTGACATTTGCACTATAGCAATGGTTCAAGGAGTAAGATATGTTCCTATATAAATGTTTGAACTATGGAAACCCACAGTAACTTAACCAATAACAATTTATAGCCAATATGAACATTTAATTCTAACTCTGATACGTATTTCTGTATTTTTGAAGATATAATTAAACTAAATTATCAATATTAAGAAGATATTTGCATTAAAAAAATTAGCCCGAAATGACATAAATCATGATTTCAATAGAAAACTTATAAATACAATAAAATTGTATACCACTATAGTGAATTTATAACATTCTTAAAATACTGGCTCATTTTCTAATTGTAGTCCAACTAAATATTTTTTCCAGATTTAACGGACCAAACAAATGTTTGGACTAGTTAAATGCCAACATTTGAAATTTTTTTACTACGTATTTCAAATGTACATCTCTTGTAAAAATAAGTTTCTAAGATATAATGAAAATTAGGAACAGAAAAATGACTAAAATAGGAATATGTTTGATTAGACATTGTATCTAGGTAAATGTTTTTGTTATATTAGATGATTGCAACTAGATACAATATTCTGCTTTTAATAAACTACGTATGAATTTCATACTTAACCTAAAATGTTTAATTCATTTAATAAAAATGTTTAGTTAATACAAGTCTGTTTGAGATCAAAGTTAAAAATTGTTATAAAGATCCATTTGGAAACCAGTCTAAATATTGGAGTCGCTACTCCACTTTTGCATGAAAATTTACGTAGTTAAGAAATTGAGTGAAATAGAAACAACTGGATTTTCAACTGACAAAACTTGTACAAAAAATTTTTCGCCAGTGGAAACCCACCTTAACACAAACTCATAAAAAAACAATCAATTTTTAAAAAAATATAAGGAATATATAATATGTTATGATTTGTCTCCACAAAACCTAATAATTGATCTAATTGCATAAATCTTTGTAAACTAGTCATCTCTATGACAAAAATGGCAAATATTTTCACCTAACCTAATGAGTACCTGCTACATCTATTGTCTTTTGTGACCTAAACATGGACAATTCATTTAAAATATCAAGCAAAGATTTAAACACATATACATTTTAAAAACTATAGTAATAAAAATAAATCAATGTCAAAAATTGCTCCACTTACCATGGGTTTCTGAGACTAAAATTGCAGTTTAAAACATATTGTTATCTATGTTTTATCAAAGATAATACACAGGGATTGAGATGTATTTTATACAGATTTTTTCAGAAACTAACGGTAATTTATGTAAGTTATTGTACAATTAATTTAAGGGAACAAACAAACGATTAAATACAAAAAAAAGGTAATTGATTCCCCAGTATGACTAAACATCATTTCTGGAAGGAATTAAAAAGACAATATAAAAATTTGTATGTATTTAAATCTTTGTATAAATACGTTTTATTTGATTTTGATCTTGTGCAATTTGAGTTTGAAGCCGAGCATTTCAGACAGCACTCCGGATAACGCCGACAGGATGACCACTTTGATAATAGTATACAGATAGTGGTTGGCGCAGATACCTGATATCTTGAAAGGAGCATCTAGTTCCTGGAAAAGTATTATTTAAATTTATCACCTTGGGTTTCCTTGACATACTTGTGTAAAACAAATTATTATTTCCCACAGTGAAAAAAAAACAAATATATGTTTTTAGAATTTTCAAAAAGCTTTATCGGTTATGGCATTTAAAATCGTAGGTAAAAGCTAACCGCCTTGTTATGTTCGATTTTTACGACAAAATATGGTTGTGTCCTTTGTCGTTAAATCCGACTTTGAATATTAAAACTGTTTAATAATTTATACATCAAGGTCATACATAAGTATATTTCTTACCTTTAATAAATCAGCGGCAAGTTTCAGCACATTATTAGCGACAGTTAACTGTTCCTTGCTGTCTGGTCGCTGTTCCATAGCAAGGTGTAAGTTGATCTGCTCGGTGAGTATGGCGGACAGACAGCCCCGGTACTTGCGGTTCACGTTACCGCCCAGCGTCAGCAGCCGCAGCAGGTGGATGCCCAGACCGCAACTCCACACCATTGCCTCCAGTAGCCAACCGCACTCCAAGGTAACAGAGTCCTAAGAATAGTTTGTGTAAACATCGCTAGATGCTGTTGTCATATATTATGGAATATGCGTGCTTTCGACCAAGCAGAATAGCTCTTGATACACAATATTACAAAGTGTTTGCAAATGTCACTAGATGGCGTTGGATATCAACTAATTAGGAGCAACTGCAATCTAATAACACTTGTTACGTTATTTAAATTTTCTAAAAGTTTTGTAGTCTGGATGAATCATGGCAAAGAATTTCCTAAGAAACATTATCTTTGCTTACAGCTTAATTTCTCTATTAATAATATTTGCGATGTTTATCTACAATATAGTTTAACAATAGGAGAGATGCTGGTACCCTGAGCAGCTGCGCGCTGACGCAGGCGAGCAGTATGAGGGTGAGCATGAAGGCAGACGACACGATTACGTCCACCGACCGCTGAGGGCCGCGACGCTGTAACATTCAAAATACATAAGCAACAAAAAAAATCGTATAAAAACACTGTAACTAATACAATAGTTATGTAAATATAGAGACCTAGGCTATCTGAATTAATAGTTGTAATTGAAACTAAATTATGACAGCTCACTAGCGCCCCCCTGTCAACGTCAAAAATGACAAAGGAACCTCTTTGTAATGTAGCTGTCATATCATTTTCTCTTATGTCTAACCACGATAGTAGCGCCTCTCACCGGTTCAGATATCCTTGTTTAACTATACTTGTAATTGTTATAATTTGGAGTAACAGAATAAACAATATTTTATTCAATTTCGTAAAAATTTACATAAAATCCCTTATTTAATTTAGAAAACAAATAATATATAAATAGGATAGAAAATATGAATATTCCTGTGGTATCCAAACAATTTACCCGTAAGTAAGACCTGGTGGAAAGCCAGGTCTTGATGTTCCTGACGGTGTTGAGTCTGAAGTGCGGCAGTTCTGACTTGCGCGCGCGCCGAGCTGATGTGAGATGGGAGAACAGTTTGGCGTAGAGGAAGCGTTGCTTCAGTGCGCGCTCCGCCACCGCCAGCAGGAAGAACACCAGCGCGCTCAGTGAGAACCGGAGCACGCACGATATCATGCTCGTTGATACTTCCCTGATAATCATTAATAAAAATATCTTTGTGCATATAAAAACAAACATATACTGAGCAATAGTTAATTTACAAAAGGTTATGTGTTAATGATCTTTGCCTGTTAAAACAGCTTTAAAAAACATAATTTAACAAAAAAAGGCGTAAAGGTTATTGATAATCATATCAGTGGGCCAAGCAAGAATATTTTGACAAGCGCCATCGTATCGTCGTCGACAAAATTTGTATAACAGTACTACCATACTAAGTTTAACATAATTGACGATAGAAGGCGCTTCTCGCATTTATAATAATTAGGTCCACTGTTTTACTGATCTTATCAATTTTTTAGATTTCGATTATGACGTCACAATAGGATATTTCATCCACATCAATCACTCAGGGGAAGAATATGAATCGATAACATTTGTCTGTGGTCACTCACCAGGCGGTATCTCCGAAGGCACCGCTGAATAGCGAGCGCGGCCAGTCAGCGCGGTTGTGGAACAGCGAGGGGATGTAGGAGAGCAGGGACATCGCCTGCAGCTCCTCCTCGCTACGCGTGTCCTGCTCTATAGCCACCTAACACAACAATCCCATTGTCATTGCTTCCTTACTACTCCGTTTAACACGTTCAGTGACACTGACTCGCCTGACAAGTTAATTTCAATGAAAAAATTTAGTGGCATGGTACGTATTTGGTATTACAGTGATGTGACCCAAAGTGAAACTTGGTCCCCGACAGTAAGAGTTGCTTTCCTCAATTTTCTTGATTAAAAGCTAACCTACTCTGTGACAATGAACTCCTAGTTGTATGCTTTAATGTGGAGTGTTCTGGAAAAATGTAGATGGTCTCCATATGTTAGCTAACCTGTAGCAACCTGGCGACGGGCGCGACGAGCGCAAGCAAGGCGGCCATGAGCAGCGCGGGCCAGAGCGCGCCGTGCGCCGCCATCGCGCGCTCAGCCCGCGCCACCACGCACCAGCTGATGTCCACCGCGGACAACTCCGCGCGCAGCGTCCATCCGCGCTCCCACATCGTGCACTTCACTGCAACATGGACACCGCTACTACAACTATACAATGACAGAGTAAACATCGGACTGTGATACATAGATATGACGCTGCTGGATCGCTAGTAAAAATGTTGCGAGCTAATTTATTAATATACCCTACTCTTGAAAGCCCTACGTCACTTGGATCGAATCAATAACGACTTGAACTAGTCGTGGTAATTAAAATTAATGATCTGCAGATCATCTGATTTGTATGTGAGTTGCAGGTCAGTGAACCGAGTGGCTCAGATATAGGTGCTGCATTTGAAGGCTCTTTACCTGTATCACTAGTAGTATCTAGTATGGTGAAGGGATCCCACGAGCTGTCCGCTGTGTAAGGAAAGCCGACGTCGGAGTGACCACCTTCCGATTGTGAACAATAACTGCTCTCTTCACCTGTTAAGTATATCGTAAACTTGATATTACAATATAGGACATAGTCTTAACAAAAACAAAAAAAAGTAGAATCATTAAGTACAAAAAACGATTTATTATGTTAAACCATTCTCTTCCCCTTATCAAAGTATGAAATTGGTGTGTTAAAATCATGCAAAATTTGATATACTTATCAAAATGGACCAATAGTTTAATGAAGTGTAAGTTCCTTACTGTTAGTTATTTGCCCAACCCAATCTGACATTGTGTGGTGCGAAGGCAGTGCGATAGATGGCGCGGATGCAGAACATTCTCCATCAGAAGACGAAGACTGGTAATTGTCCAATTTCTGAACAAATGCATTCAATTCATTAGTCATATGGTTACAACAAAGTTAACATCAAACATGCAATCAGACAATCACATCTAGCAATATAATGGCTACCTGAATTTACTCGTTCAAAATTTCTCTTTTCTAGCACCTAATATTATAAAAAAAGTTAATAATTTTGCAAACTTAATTTGTAAAGTTTTAGCACTTAGCGTAGCATTATGTAATTTGTGAGCTATTTAACAACTATGTAATCTTACCTTATCTTTTCTCTTCGTAAAATCATCGTCACTAGACTCCGGCTGCGTAGTTTCTTGTTCCCAAGAATTTCTAAATCTAACTCCGATTCTTTTGCCAATAGCACTGGGACTTCTTAGGATTCCTCCATCGGAGTCTGGGTCAATAGATTTCTCGTCTTCTTCTTTCTTTACCTTTCTTGTATCATTGGATTCTTTAACGTTTGCATCTCCATCAAATACTTTATTTAATGGATCACTGTCGTTTATTAAAGGTGGTTCTGCTTCAAATTTTTCTTTAAGAGTACTGTCTGATTGTGTTTTTCCTTTATTTTCAGCGTCACTGCCATTAGAATTATATCCATTGAGACTTTCGAAGCCATCATCTCCGTCTGCAAATATTGGTCTTCCGCTGTTACTTTGTATGTTAGGTCTAACATTATAACTATCCAAATATTTCTTAGTCAAAATGTTAGGTTTATATCTAAATGGGGCACTAGAACTGGCAGTTTCTGGTGGTGGAGTTAATGTAACAATTGGCTCGTTTAAATCTGGCTTCTTCCATGGCATGTAATCCTCGTCATCAGAATCTTTGGCTTTATTCTTCTCCTTAAATTTAGTCTTAGCTGGAATCTCTTGCTCTTTCATTAAATTTTCTTTGGTCAACTCCTTTTTACGCTTCCTATGATGAAAATACACTAATAAAATTATACTTTGTTATCATTTTAACATGTCTTATTGGTTGCTACATACCTTAAACCACTGTCAGTGATATCAGATCTCGATAACCGTCTTCTGAATTTAGTGTGTTTGTTGGTTGGAGTTTTGCTTTGACTGGAAGTTGCCCCACTTTCAGCTGACCCACCTCCGCTGCCCCCATCACATTCTGATCTCGATCTCCTGTCATTTATAGTACTATAAAAAACTAAACCACTTCTTGATTCAAATATTTGCTAGTAGACATTTAAGTGGACTTGTCATTGATAACAATACCAACATATCTAAGTGCAACTAGATTTGATTGACTTACCGAAAATATCTAGGCAATTTTCGTCTATAAGTTGACCGTGGTCGTACGCGAGCCAACTCCATTTCAGTGGTGCTGACGATCTGTGAGTGTACAACACTCAACACAATCATCAAACTTAACGGCAGGAGCCAACAATTACGCTGAAAATAAACTATTCCTGAATGAAACACATATAATAGAAAAGTAATAAACAATGTAAAATGAAAAACTCAAGTACAATCTGATATATTTATACATTTATGTACAACAAAAGGTTGTAATTCCGCAAAATGATGATTTTCTGCTACAGCTGTTCTTTTGTTTTTTCCTGTTTGTGATGTTAAGACATTCTAAAAATTCCGATGTAACAAAACCGACATATTTTTATACAATTTCATAAGTAAACTTACATCCATTTCTATGTCAGCTGGTGCTATAAAATATAGTGTCATATTTAGCACTTGTAATATCCATAGGCCAAGTAAGAACTTGGTGCAAGCGGGCGACGTTTGTTGAACCCACCACTGGTACAGCGCCGGAAGGAATATGAGTCGCATCAACGCAAACCACACCACACGCCGCATACCAAGTGTGGGCTTTGCTTTTGGGAATGATGAGCCTGGAAGTATCGATTTAGTGCTACAAGTAGTTTCCACATGCGGAATTACATGTTGATTTTTTTTTTGTAAAACAGGTAAAATATTGAACATATCTTTCAGTGCAGTTGAAGCTTGTGGAATGTTCCATTATTGCTGAGTATCAATTGTATAAACGACTGAGATAAAATACCTACCTCTAACTAAATCCACATCTATAAGATATGATCGTGCATCTGTTGAAAATGAATCTACAATTCGCCTGCGATATTTGCCTCGCATGAGCAACTGTTCCACCATTGTCTCCCATTCTTCCTTATCATATGAACTTATCTTTTTCTGATACCTAAAAACCATTGAAAAAACTTTTTGTAAAGATTACTAATATTAATAATTACATTAAAATTAATAATGAGTGCATTTTAATATTTTTTAGTGGTTAATTTTTATTCTCTACAAATTTTTTATTCAATGTTTCACTACTAATGCAAAGAAATGCTTAATTTAATGACACAATTATACCATATCACATTATATTCACATCATAGTTGAATCTAAATTTGTTGCCAGTTCTTTTATTTAAGACATTAAGGTCAATGTCTTATATTATTCAATTTTTATCACACACACAAGTTCTGAATGCTATTTGCTTAAATAATTCTTTTGTAGCTCTTTGTAATGTATTAACAACAAAATAATTGCATTCTATCTTTATAATTCTTTTTAAGATTAATTATTTTACACATTAACTTTGTCTTTTATATCAATTAAATTTCAATTAAGAACAAAGGCCTATTATGAATAAAACTCTGAAGTCATGTTAATATTGAAAATATAACATTTGACAAAATCAAACAAAATGATTACCATTTTGCTCTACCTTTGAAGCCTACCCTTCTAGTTTTTTGATTAATTACAAGTAGGTATACCCAAAAAATAAGAGTAACTTATTTTATAAAATAAGTTACTCTTATTTTTTAAGAGTAACTTATTTTATAATATAAAATAAGTTACTCTTATTACCCAAATGAATTTCCACTCATAAAATATTAATATAAAACACATTGCTATTTCAGCAGTAAACAAATTTATGAACTTGAAAATACATTGATGAACAAAATCAGAAATGCTATACAAAAAATATAAAGGATTATGGTATCTTTTTAATGAAATATACTTTTGTTGTTTTTACTTACCAAGCAGCTAGCTGCATCATGATGAGTTCTAGGCCAACAGTCAAATTAACATGTAATAAATTCTGATGTTTAATTTCTCGACTTTTGAGTTATTTTGCTTGTTCAGAAGTCATGTCAATGCTAAAAAAATTATTCAACATGTTAATTCTTATTTAGGGTCTCCCATGCCTAGAATTTTTGTAATAATATACACTAAGAATTTGGAAGAATCGCATTCATAAGTTTACATATTCAGGCTATCGAAAAGATTATTTTGTTTTCAAAATTGATAAGACAAAACAATAACAGTATCATTATTACGTTTAATTTTTGTTTTATTTGCATTCTGCACAGTAGTTATCATAATATGAATAAAGTTTTCTGTTGTAATAATAGGAAATGTAAATTTAAAATCATAATATTGTTTTAGACATTTGCGCTACTTACAAGTCCCCATTTTACATCAGTTTCTTGCATCCATGTAATGTATTAATTTCACACCTATTATTAATTAAAAATATACTCAAGTCAGAAGCTTAGAAGATGTCAAAGTGAAATAAAACAGCTTATTGATTGGCTTTTCTCATTAAAAATATTAAGATCAAAGGAACAGCAGATACAACTTTTTCTAACTGATGACAGCTGTCATTTGACAATGACTTTGCTGTCAAAAAATAAGAAACGGAAATCAAACTGAATGACTCCTGTAAATAACGTCGTCTACTTTAAGTAGATGGCGTTGTACTAAAAATATTTTTGCAAAAACTATTGGGATGAATAATTTCTATTTGGTTCATTTAAGAAAATTTTACTTTCACTTGAATTTTTGTCGGTAAGTGTTAATGTCGCTTTCAGGTAAAGAAAACTAGCATTTGAACAAAAATATTATCTTTTATTTATAACAGTTATAAAGTTGTATACTTAAACTATTTTTTAATAATACACTCGTTCAATTTCGATGTAAAATGATTGCAAGTCTTTAAATACATATAAATTGCATTAAGGAAGTAAAAATCTGCCTAAAATATCATAGGATATTATTTAATTGTACAGTATTTATACTAGCAATCGATCGCTTTTACTTTTCTTTCAGAAAATATACACTTAGTTAAAAAACATAACTAAACTTGTGCGTACCACGGAATATAACTTATATATACACAAATGTTTAATTTAAATATCGCCAATTCACAATTTTCGTTATATTTCGAATTTACCTCTTATGGGTTATTGCATTACAAGAGTGTGAAATTGTAAGAAGTTGTATAGATGCCAACACATGAAATAACTATATGTTATCTACCTTAATATACCTACTTATAATACATTTGCAGGTGTGCATTAGTTTCCTAATAGATATAGAATATTCTAGACTAGACCTATACATTATTAACTACTTTGGTTGATGTTACATTATGAATATAATGCTAAATTAAGGTTAAATATAAATGACGAACAAAAGATCTTATTGCAGACTTATAGTCGGTTTGTTATTAAAGATTACTCTTTTATAACAAAAAAAAATAGATAAAAAGGGACTTAATAAATACTGAAAATGTATTGCAAAAGTTTCATTACAATTTCATTTCACAGATCATTTTTATACAATTATTTACAATTTTAAACGTATAAGTTTTACAGAAATCATGTCGAGGCAAGCGAGGTATGATTCATGGTACATATTTAAATTTTAAGTTTTACTCGATTTAATTTTAACGACAAATGTAAAAATGGTATAAAATAGTAACGTGAAAGATACTAAACATTGACATATAAAATAATTGATTCTAAAATTACTGTCGTTGATGGTGCCTCTTTAATTTACTTAAAATAGATAAAAATTATTTTCTAACTAAATTAAGAAGACAGTGAGATATATTTGTACTACTTTGTAACGTTAATTATTATAACGTTATATACTATTTTAATTAAGAATTAAAGTTCAGTGGTAAGTTCGTCTTGAGGTCGCCTCGTCATTTCAAATAATTCATCTTCGAGCCACACACTTTCTCTTCTTACAATCGGTCTCCTCTCCCAGGGATCGGAGAGTGTGATTGTCTCTTTCTGTCTCTCCATTTGTGAATAGTTATCCTTCTCCCTCTCTATCTGTGAGTAGCTCGGTGGTCTGATGTCATTCCATTGGTTCCGGTTTTGCTCTTTGTCTATTGTATGGCTGTCAAATGATGTAGGCGAGTAAGATGGCGGCTTAAACGTTGAAAATGATTGCTGTGTCGTTTCGGAATCTGATTCCTGGCTCGGTGGTGTTGGTAGGAAATTCACAAGTTGACTTTGTTGCTGTTGAGTCACATTCATTCGGCTGTAACGTTTCAGTATTCTGTAGGGAAAGGAAATTTGATTAATTTATTTTTAGATATGAGGAAATATTTTACTTACATTGGTAACGTAACTTTAATAACGAGTACCCGTGTACAGTCAGCGTCATATAGATCGTAACAGACAAGATATGCAAATATATAGATACACCGAAAGTAATCAATTATATCGGTACAACAAAAGTCTTCAAATTAATAGATACATTCACCCTGCTCAAATACATCGGTACATACATAGCGTCAAATATATGAGTGTACATGCAAGGTTCCCATAAATATCGTAGCAGCCACAGCGTCATAAGTAACGAAGCAGTCAAGGTGTGCAAAAATATCGTAACATTTGACAAAATTGAACTCTATCTCTATATACTTGTGATACAATTTGGAATAAACTACTTCTGTTACATTCATTTGACACTTTGTATTAACATTATAGTTTGTCCGGAAAGTTCGATCTGATTTTCGATAGGACGGTTAGAATAGACTGTAGCTGAAGTGGATTCATTTTAGGATTCCCACCATTATCAAACGTCACAAAAAATTCTATTTTGTGAATAATTTCATTTCATTGGTTGAGATAAAAACTATTTTTTTAAATGTTAGCCAAAAATAAAAGACGTTTTAGGTAGTTTGTCTTTGCGGGTTTTAAGAATGGTATGCGCGGAAACTATACGTACAACTATTATCTAAATATGTGTGCGCGCCCACGCTGTGTGTCTCGGTGAACCTAATGTGTATTCATAACTTCAATAACATAGGTACAGTCACCTCCAATGGAGTGTAAGTATAATAAGTAGTAGTAAGTACTTTCGCACGAACAGCGGCGGTAGACGATATAAAGCGACGAATGGCAATCACTAGGTCAGTCGATGTGAGAACTTCGAGCGGGCAAGTCGTGTCGGTAGTTGAACGAGCCGCCTATGCAACGAATGCTACATAGAAGAAGAAGAAGAAGAAGAAGAAGAAGAAGAAGAAGAAGAAGAAGAAGAAGAAGAAGAAGAAGAAGAAGAAGAAGAAGAAGAAGAAGAAGAAGCAGCAGCAGCAGCAGCAGCAGCAGCAGCAGCAGCAGCAGCAGCAGCAGCAGCAGCAGCAGCAGCAGCAGCCACGTTCCGTCTGCCAACCTATCTTGGGAACTTATTGCGAAGATTCGTTTGGCTAAGCCAAATAAAATTTCTGAGTCTCTGCCTACCCCTATATGCAACAGGCGTGAAAATGTATATGTTTTTAACTTAATAGAATCGAAAGTTAAGGTTAAGATTTTCATCCTAAAAAATGTAACCCTTACTTCAGTGGTTTGATGCAAAGTGTCAAATGAAACAGAAGTACTTTATTCCAAATTGTATCACAAGTATATAGAGATAGAGTTCAATTTTGTCAAATGTTACGATATTTTTGCACACCTTGACTGTTTCGTTACTTATGACGCTGTGGCTGCTACGATATTTATGGGCACCTTGCATGTACTCATATATTTGACACTGTGTATGTACCGATGTATTTGAGCAAGGTGAATGTATCTATTAATTTGAGGTCTTTTGTTGTATCGATATAATTGATTACTTTTGGTGTACCTATATATTTGCATATCTTGTCTGTTACGATCTATATGACGCTGACTGTACAAAAACATAAGATACACATTGAATTTGGTGCATCTGTTCAGTTATATTAGTTTGACGCGCACAGTTGCTTTCTTAACGAAAGTTGAAAACGTATAATCGGTAGTTTGATTTCACCATGAGTCCTTCTTCACCTTATCTACTCTCCAATTTTCTTTAAAAAGGCTGGCTTTGCATCAACCAATCCACTGTTTGTTGCAAATATCTATTGAGTATTGTAGTAGTCGTATACCATCAGAGTACCTGCTGCTTTAAGCATTTAAAATAAATCTGAACAAATTGGTTACCGTTCCGCCCAACTAGCGAGTCTCGGCCACTCGTCTGGCACGACCGGTACCTGCTGCTTGTTGAGCAGTATGAGCAGCTTGGCCAAGTCGCTCAGCACGCAGCTGCAACGTAATTAATATTAGAACTGCTGGAAATAACTTCGGCATGCGCACAGCTTCGCCGTATTGCACGTTTATGGACTTGTAATGCATTCGAATGGTAAGAACATTAATTCGCAAATAGCTTTTAGCTACTTAAAATGATTTAAGCTTGTACAATCAAGTTGCACTCTCCTTAAAATCCTTTCAGATTTACACAACTGTCAAAACGTTGTTCTTTAATTATAATTAGAATTTCACTAATATATTAGTGAAATTTTGTTTAAAATGTTCTTTACTTTTAAGTTAGTTTTGAAATAAATGGTTGGTTGCTTTATTGTTTAGCAACTCTTTGGTGCGGATATCAACGGGTATCGGATAGCAGTGGTCTGGTCACGGTCACATATTTCTTGTAAAAAACTTTTATACCTGTACGCCATAGCTGCGTCGTTGTTGCCTAGTTGGTAAAGCTCTCTCACTTGATGCCGCGTGTGGTTCAGGATTGCAAGTAAAGTGAAAGCGTGTGGCTGGAACAAAATGTTATAAATGCATATTTATTAATTGAATAACTAAATTGGTGGAAACAGAGAGGACAATTGAAACCTGAATTTTTAACGGTCCTGCAAAATACATACTTTATACGTTAGTATGATTATTGATCGAAAGAAGTATTCTATTGGTAAGAGTTTATTTTATACAAAGTAACTTGATCTTTTAAATATTAAAAATCAAAACGAAACGTGGAAAATCTTAAAGTGTTATAAAGATTTCAAAATACATCGGGTGTGATTGAAATCGCTCACAGAAGCGGAACAAGACGAAAATAAGTTTTGACTTTGTAGCAAATGTTACATTGAGTTTAAGCACTAGTTTTGATTTGTATTACTTTTGTATTCGCTGCATTGTTATTTTATTTTAAGAATTTTAGTCATCTGTTCGAGAATCACTGCTGTCTATATAAGTTACATTGTTCTACACGCACACACACTCACAAACAATATGGAATTTTGTACAAATATATTGTATAGAAAGAATAGGTTAACACAAATCTAGTAATGTAATTGAGAAAATAATAATGCAATAAAACAAATGTGTGATGTAAAATAAATAAGAAAATAAACAAAAGAAAGGAACTTAAGGTTGAAGAAAGCGTGTAATTATAGTAGAATCATCATGTTTGTACAGAGAGACGGGTGGTCGGGCAAGTCACGATATTAAATCAAACTGGTTCCCTGACAGACGATAGGGGAGAGTGAAGCTGAGGTGAGAAGTGAGATTTCGAAAGTGGCAGACATCGTGTATCAGATGTCAACACAATGATACATTTCCCCACAACATAATCATGGTCATTTTACGGAACGTTAAGCCTTGTTAGCAAACGTGCTGCCAAGATGACGTAGATGTTAATGGTTCCTAGTTGTGACTATATATGTAAGCATTCATTACTTTTGAGTATAAAACAAAGGAAATCATGTATAATAAGATGACCATGGCAACATCAACTCAATAAACATCCCTACTGAGTGGCTCGAAGCCAACCTTAAGTTAGGAGTGACTAGGCTATAGTCGACCACGCTGTACCAGTACGGGTTGGTCCGTGGCAACGATTATTTTATGTGACAATGTTTTTAATTTTATTGTCATGTTAGTTTACAGAATTTGTGTAGATAGCTCCAACGGCATCCGAAGGTGGTTATTGCTCAAAATTTATTCTACTATTTATAATTTTAAAAACAAATAAAAGAAGACTATTGTTCTCCTAGCGGTATAGGTATTTAATGTGGTAAAACAATCTCAGGCGATTATATTTCCGTTAATCGATATTCGGTACCTTCATGGACTATCGCTTTGAAGGTATTCTACTGTCATAGCGGCTGACCGTTGTCGGTTCAATACACAACTGTTACATCGAAATTATGTTAATTTGTTTATAATTGATTCATCAACTTTATTAAAGATAATTACTTAGACAATTAAAATACTTTAAATTTGTAAACTTTTTAACAAATTTTTGGTGTACTGTTTAAAAAACGTGTGCATAAATGTAACGGACTGCATTTTGTTTGGTTTTATTGATAGGTTGTTTATTTTGTCTAATTAAGTGAGAATAATTTGATCCATTCATTTCTTCATTACATGTATTTATTAGTTTAATTTATTACAGTTTAATAAAATTACATTTGGTTGTGATCTCATCCAAATGCAATTAATCCTGTGGGAACGCAATAAAGTTTTGTAGTACACTTAAATGGCACTTAAAACTCAAGAGTCGACGACTATCACGAGAATATTACTATTAAGATTTTTAAGCCATGCTCACTTTAATTGCATAATGTTAATTATGTTTTTTTATAAATAGAAATGTTATTTTGCCAAGGATTTTGTTTAATAAGGGAATATATACTTGTAAAGGAATAAGGCTCGTGAAATTATAAATATTAAATGGAGCGTACATTTAGTAACTGATAATGACTAATTCAAGCGTTGCTGTTTTTGCATATGACGCAGTAATATGAACTAACAACGTATCATACTGGGGTGAAAGTAAGGATAAAAAACTAAAAAAAATGGGGAACTGTTGAACTTCATCATTGTAATAATATTATGTATATATTGTAAGTGTAAATTACCCGTAAACAATCGAGTTGCTTATGAAACTCTCTAAGTCGGGCGTCGTCGTCGTGCTGGGCGAGTGGTGGTAGAGGTTGAGGCTGCGCACGCGCCTGGCAGCGACCGCGACACCGCGCGTACGCTGCGCCTGCCGCGACCAGCGCAACGCAGAGTATTGCGCCGCACGTCCCGCCCACTAACACCTGAACAAATCACAAATTTAAAAGAATTAACATATGAGTACTACAGTGGCAGATTTTATATTGCGGGCCCGGTTGCTAAGGGTCTCTAGCGTCATGAAAGCAATAAATTGTACGTGAAGTTAATAAAGTAAATAAAAAGTAACGTGCATGTGGTTATTTAAAACACACCTTATCTAAGCTTAATGTTACGCCTCGAATTGAAAACACGCGATATCGCATTGCTGCCGTTTTGAAATTCGTCATGCGGCTTGTGTTATATTTCTTAAATAAACACTCGTTTAACTTACGTTTTAAAGTACAATATGTAAATGGTATTACGACCATCCTGTGAGTTAAAATCTTGTATGAGATCTCTTATTTTTTTATGTTCATTAAAACCGCTTTCACAAAATTCTAGGAAGAGAGCTACCTCGAGCGATGCGAGCGATGGTGCTATTCTACAAAATCCGGACACAAAGAGAGCAAACCCGTGTTGTGTCCGGGTTTATCCCGGGTGCGATTTTTTGTTTCCAAAAAATAAGCAACGAATATTCCGTTAATATGCTTAAAAACGCATAATTTTTTGGGAACAAGCCCATAAATACGCCGAAGGTTTGTAGTAATTTTATTTAGGTTTTGAGTGCATCGATACAAAAGAAGAATACGCTTAAAAAAGAAAAAGAATTTTGTCTGCAGCAAGGAACCCTATAATTTAGAATTCAGGTACGCTAATGACTAACGCTTCGGACGTTATAAGCTATAGAAAATGCCTCATCGGAATGGAAGAATGAATAATTGCGAGAAAAGACAGTAATTTTCTTTGCTTATTTAAATACTTATACACATTGACATTAAAAAAATATATGAAATAACAAACTAAATCGTTTTTAAAATATATGATTATATTTCATTAATATGTTGAAATGATTGCAAGACTCTTTTACAATTCCATTTCACCATTTTGATAAAAATAAGAAGCTGCGTTATAATCACATTTCATAAATAGATAATTTAAATACATCTAAGAAGACAATAATAAAGTTGCTAGACAAATTGAAGAGGCTTGATAAAATTTTTATGTTTGTGTTATTTTGATATTCTGTGAGACGTGACTTGAATGCCATGTTTGCAAGTGAGCTATAAAGATTCCCGCACAGCGACCGGTTGTAGTTTCGTGAGTCACGATCGACCACCATAGGGAGGATACAGTTTTAGATATTTGGCAATTATGTCACATCTCTTACAGCTTGCAATAAATACTTCAATGAGTTCGTATGATTAAGATATTGATAAAGAGGATAAATAGATTCGACAGGACACGTATTTAAGATATGATTATTTTCGGATTTTATTATTATAACATTTGCTTTAAAATATACTATGATAAGTCTCATTTATTTAAAAATAAAAGGTTGGTATAATTAGGAAAATTAAACTACATTCAAACACAACAAAAAATGTGACTACTAGGGTAAACATTGTGTTTTGTTTACTCTAGAACAGATTCTGTTCCTGATAATTTAACCTAAACAATCATAGTTTTCAAATGCATTTCTATAATGCACATATGGCGGGCATAGAGTAATAGAGTTAGTTTCGTTATTTCGTAAAGGCGTGCGGATAAACGATAATATTGCCTCACGTGTAGCGCATCAAAGCAAAGCATATGTTTACGATGCGGCCGCAGCAGTAGGCAATGGCCTGACCCCGTTTTAAAACATAAAAATGTTTTATAGTCTATGCTCTATCTATGGACATCGAGTTTTAATTTTTTTTTGTATGACACGTTCCACTCGTTTAGATATCTGGATACACGTGCGTTTTAAAAAAAAGAATTGCAAACGTGTTTTCGTAAAATGTTCGCAGTTTGTTTATAGCTGTTAGATAAAGCATGAAATATTGTAGTTAATAAATAAAGTTTGTGAACTTTAATAGTAAACGAATAATATAACTTAGTTTTGTACGGTTTTTATAAAATCATTAAAGATTAAATAACATGATTTAAAAGGCGGAAAAAAGTTGGGTCTACCCTACCAATGTTGACAAATATTGCACAAATTACACATTTAAAAATCCTTGAACATTTTCACGCTTACAATCCACACATCACTGCTCCAAATGAAAACAGATCGTGTAAAAAAGATCTGTCCAGATGTAATAATGCTATTTTCTTAGAGTAGGTGTAAATAAGATACGATACCTCATTGTAAGTGTTAGCGGGATAGCAAACACGTCCCATTAGGTGGTCATCATGTGCCCAGGCCTCGCGAGTGCCGGGCGGGCAGACGCGTGTGCAACCGCCACCCGGCCACACGAGCAGCCGCGCGCATCGCACACAACCGTCCGCACCACACCGCACGCACTCCGATCCGCAACCTATGACACAGATACATGAATTAAGAATGGGATTAAAGTAATATTTTGGTTTCTTAAGTATATTATGACAAAAAAAAAATAGAAAAGGAACAATTTAATCTGGAGTTGCTAAGGGAGAAATCAATATTAAGCTAATTATTTGGGTAACATAAATAACTCTACAGAAGTAAAATTCTACAGACATTATTTAAAGAATGATTGTATTGTGTATTGTTCTTTGCGCAACAAAAGTTCAAATTAAAATCATTAATTAATAACTGTTTTCTGAAATAAAATTTGGAAATTTGGAGAATTATAGAACGTAGTTCAATTTCAATATCAGTTAGGTAGATAATTGGATTGAACTTCTCTGAGTCAAGTATTTTCCTACGTAAAAACTCAAATATCCGAAGTATTTAGGATGTATGCACACGGTATTGTAATCAGACACAGTTTTGGGCATTTTTCACACGGGAGCGACGTCTATGTCGGAATTTCTATGCAAATGTATGACTGTAAGGTATTTACGGCTCTGTACTGGTGCAACACTAAATCGTTAGCGACATTTCAATTCAATTTGGGTCTCAATACCGATTGACTCAATACCGACTGTAAAAAATATGTCATCACATACCGATGTGATGACATATTTTTTACAGCAAAACGAAAGTCTAGTCAATCGATCAGAAATGTTAAGTTTTAACAAGTACAGTAGCGAGTCAACATGCATCTAATTACTAAACTAGCTAATTTCTGTACTTGCTGAAGTGTACATTTGGCTTAAGGTAGAGTAGACGTAAATGTCACAATGATTATGCAATAGCTATTCTAATGTCTGACAAATTGTTAAAAACAAAGGAATATCGTAAGCATAGAATTATTAGAGCTTAACTTAACGCTTAAATATGAATTAATTATTTATTGCGAAACAAGTTATTATACGTTGCTCATATTAGGCATTATATAATTTACTGTATAATATTATAACATTTATTGAATATTCATGATTTAGTATTGGTGTTTTAATAAAAAATTGCTTGAAACGAAATGGAAAAATAAAGAAACCTCTTCTGAAATCGAATAATGTATTTAATGTTTTCAATGTTACTATACTGTTAATGTCAACGTGACAAACTGTTCGCCACTGTTGGCACTTCGGATACAAGAGTTTTCTTGTTGTAAGCGTGCCAAATCAAATACTGGGTGCTTTAGATGTCTAGATTAAACCTATCGTTGTCCGTCCCTCAGTATGAATGAAGTAGTTTGTTATAATATTAGCGAGGAATATATTAAAGTGATGTAAGTATTTGTAAAAGCGTGAAGCTATTGGCTAACACCTTCCGACTTCACTTACATAATCAACTTCCTATATATTGACCAATAAAGTAGTTCAAAATGTTTAAAGACAAATAAATCACTCCGAAATGGAGCATTTGGACAGAGTCTTTGCCTTATAGTATATTAAATTGTTTGCGCAATTTAAAATATTTCAACGACCAATTTCGGTGTCAATTATCCAATTCAAATATAGAAATTAATGTCAACTGTCACATAGCAAGAAATGTTGGGACACTTACTTATAGACAACTAGTAAACAACAGGATGATGTGTGACGGCAAAAATAAGATTATAAAATTACAAAATATAAATACCACATTTTACTTTTTTTTTAATAAAATGAAATAAAATTGGTTTGGAATTTAAATTCTTGGTGGTCTTTAGTTAATAGTCAATTTTTAGCCGTTGTTGTAAAAAGTACCGAGAGAAAATACTTTATGGAATAAAGTTGGAATCAAATCATCATCATCAGATCTATACGTCCCCACCGAGGGGCTCGGAGCCTACCCCAAGTTAAGCGTGATTAGGCCATAGTCAACCACGCTGGCTAAGTGCGGGTTGGTTGACTTCACACATATATTTTAATTTCTTCTCAGACATGTGCAGGTTACATCACGATGTTTCCTTCATCGTAAGAACGTCTTATAAATGTACATATGTAAATCGGAAATCGAATGTGTTTTACATTAGTACATGGTGGGATTCGAACCCAGGACCTGCAGATTGCAAGTCAAGTGCTTGACCCCTAAACCACCGACGCTCAATCAAATAACTATGTGAAAAGTTAACATTACTCTTTCAAAGTATGACGGTAAGGTTTGTTAAGTTCATTGTGTAAGTAAGATTCGTTTTCGACGCTTTCCCTTTGGAAAGCGCGCGCAATATGCCATTAGTATGCCGGTGTTCAATTAACGGGACTGACCGATAGAAATTTACTCTTACAACTTTAAAACACTTGATACAATACTAGGAGATTGGTATAATCATACTAAATTAAAGAAATAATTTGAGGACAGTTCTATATAAACAAAACATTTTTATAACTGTTTACCACTAAATTATAGTTAATGTTTTTAAATCGAATTTATTACTTACATTGTAATTTAAATTAAATTTGTACAATCAGTGTAAAATAATGTGGATTATTTGTTAAGACCTTCAATTTCAAGGTATGAAAGTCACATTTGTGTAAATATTTACAGCTTAATGTGTCCGCCATTGTTAAGCTATTAGCCGATCTTTATGGGACTGCAATGAAGAATTTTTTTTGTTAAAATTTCAATTTAGTATAACTGTGACAACCGTGACTTACCAAATAAGGTTTTTTAAATAAACAAACTATTTGTATTCATACGATATTGTTATATAAATCTCTAATTTAACCTCTTTAAAACTAGATGAAACTATTTCTAATGCCATTGCTCTCTTAAAAAAAAACATGCGCGTCACTCTCATAGATTATTCATCGCACAGACTGTCAACTTCTCACGTGTTTCACGTATTTGTGATATTTCTTCGACGCATCTGTTTTTGTGTTTGCACATGGATATAGGCACCGTTACGTGAGATTAAACGACAACAGATTGTGTAATCGCCAGTAGATCTTTATACCTATAACTTCTGAAAATGAAGAGTCTAGCTATTTTTTAGCATATTTTTTATTTCTCATAAACTCATTTGATGTTATCTATAACTGAATCCTATTTTTGATGTGTATGTTTTGTGACAAAAATTTACTATGTTGGAAGAATAATATCTTTAACTATTACCAAGTAATCAAAGACGTAGATTTAAAAACTTTCACGTCCGTTATACCGTAGTAAACTGTGTAGACTCATGTCTCAGGCTTTACACATGGACTTTCCGAAAGTTACTTATTCTACTAGTGATGTCAACATATTTCGATTTGTTAACAGACTGTGTAATCATTACTTATCTTGGATGTGAAGTGATTTTAGGTTAAAAGTTATAATTAACTCTCAAATGATCTATTGCGTGCTTGTATAAGAAAAAGCATTGTCTAAATAACACAAGAGAAAAATCACAAATACTTATAAAATTAAGCAATCTTTATGATTGCAAAGAGATAATTTTAACAACAATATTAAAAATACATATTAAAAATATACGAATACTTCAAACCTATTTATTTCCCAATAAAAGTAAGGTAAAGCAGTCGTAGTTAATAAAACACACGATTTACGAGAATTAAAATAGTGTTGATTACGTTAATTTATTTAATTTAGTCCTTGGTTGTACAGTTTCTGTATTTTTGTATACGATAAAAGTTTTTAATGAAAACATAAAACGTATTATGCAATCAAATTTATTCCTGAACGGAATGTTAATTCTTTGTACCATAAAGTGTGTGGTAAGAGGTTTGTATCTAAAATCCTTATTTGGATGTGCAGCGAGACTTACTCAGAATTAATTTTGAACCGTATTAATGTATTTATTACAAGTTACAGTACAATTACTACGTCAAAATGATTTCGGAACGAAAATATAGTCATAAATATTTTATACAATAACATAGTTTGATAATAAGATTTATGTGATATCCGTAAACGGCGAATATTTTGTTATTCATGTATTTTAGGCCAATCAGATATGCTTTAGTTGAAAAGGAGATAAAAAAGACACAAAAAGTATTTATAAACAAAACAGGTAGACAAAATGTGTTAGTAACGGCATCAAAGTCGACGTACACTTTCCATCATAATACCGTTAACCCAATTGCCTAGGTATTTCATAAAAAAAAATCTCATTTGGAATCCTTACCATGAGCGAAAGTTCAAAAATACCATATCTAATTAAATTCGTTACACTTACATTAATAAGTAATGATTTGTTTTTATTCTATTCACGTACACAAACTTAGGTGAAGAAATCTAACGTACTAACAGTGAGTTTCCGAGACTTATGTCGTCTTTAATATTCTTTATATAAACGTCATATGTTTGTAACATAACCGTTAACAAAACAGATTTTGAACGAAGATTTTGGTTTCAGAAACCCACGATAACGGTTCTAGAGTTTGAAGTATGCACAAATATCACAAGAAGGATTGAACATCCTAATTTATTTATTCGCCATGAGTTCTTCCAAAGAGAATCATATGGATTACAAAATGTTTCTGTACTAGTATTTTGACAGTGGAAATCCACAATGAGAGGCAAAGTAAGACGTGATCGTACTTTATTGGTGTCGAGGACGTCACTTTACCTATCGGGGAATACGATATTATTGTGGATGCCACTCTTGACTCACTTTTATGACACAAATGTTACAGTAGATAGATTCTCGTTATATTACCAATAAGTGAGATATAGGAATGTGATATTGTATCGATATAAGAAGCAATAAGAATAAAGGTCATGGGAATACAGCCTTTAGTTATGAAATATCGGCGAGGTGTTTATACGCACCGTTTAAAGTTTAGTGCGTGATGAGAAATCTACTCATAAAATGATAAATATGAAAAAGTAGCAAACAAATATCACCAAAGAATTTATTACTAGGTTTTATACTTAATCTAGCAATGAATGACAAGAAATAGTTTGGAGAAAGGTATTTAAGCAAAGGGAATTCTAAAGTTCGATTCCTAACTTCATAAAATGACATTTTCTGTGACGTCACATATCTGTTGTCATAATAGTAACATGAACGGAGTCCTTAAATATGATGAGGATGTGTGATGTTTGTCATGGGGTATGTAAGTGGGTATGTTTTTTGTAAAAATATAGAGGGACTCACTCACGTGTATCGTTGAGTGGAGGCGGTGCGTCTGCGGGGCGCAGCTGAGCGTGCGCTGCCGTCGCCGTGGCTAGCAGCGCCAGCGCGAACAGCGCCGCTGACGGCATACCGCTCACTTCACCATTGCGTATCTGTGCTGCAAAATAATACTTTATAATAATCATATAACTAACGAGTATGTCATTGATGGAAGAGGAGCTTGCTTGCGTAAAAAGTAAAAAAAATATGAGGTATAAAAAGGTTAATATGGCTTGTTTAATTTGATTGAAGGCATCCAAAATCCAATTTTATTCACGCGCCTCCTAAAACCTCAGATTTAAATTTGAAAGTAACAGCAACATTAAAACGGTCCGAAGAATCGTTAAAATTTGGTTTAAATGATTTATGTCGTAAAGAAAATTGTGAACTCAGCTGAATTGCATTTGTTTATTTGAAAATAAATCTTATGGACCATTGCGTAAAGGTGTACATTTTGTTTTTATTAAGTCTGAAGTTATTGAAATCAATTAATCATTGGAAAAGTTCAAATGATGCGAGTTATTTCCAGTTCTCAAGACAGTCTTCTATCAGACTTCGTACACTATCGTATTAACAAAAGTTACATGTGTCCGCGACGTATGTTTTCGAGATAGTATCAAATTTGCAGGGCTTGTTTAGGTTTGATTAATTTACATATTTTTTATACGCAAAAGTGACCAATGATACAACAGGGTATCTGATGTCACTGCTATCTACAATGGATAGGGGAGGGTAGCCAGGAAAAGAATTCAGTGATTATAGTACCGTAGATAAAGTGTTCACAAATAGTTAAAGAGAACTACTGATTTTTGTAGTAACTCGTAATAATTTCACGAGATAGTTACCATTGATTGATAAGTACGTCCACGAGTGTTGGCGTAGATGTATTGATTATGAGATTATACAACGACGTGCTCCTTTTTAGTCTGCTTGGCTATATCATGATCAAAGCATTACAAGAGTTTCTCCAATGAAAACGTGAGTGAAAGTGTAATATTATTCATCAAGAGTTGTCAATGGGCGTTACTATACGCAAGGACGAATAAATTAAAAGTAAAACAAGTCTTTCTATTACATGAATGGACACTTTAAATGTATTATAGTTGCCAAGTTTCGTTTCATGCTCATGCCTTTTATGGTCTAATAACATAGCTGTACTAGTTTCAAAAATTACGTAGTACATTTGCATTTTAAATTAATTACTTTCAAATGTTTGCAAAATATTTAAGTTCTTTGAGGATGTACTCAAATGTCCAATTTCGTAATGTAATTATAATTTGAATATTAAGTTGTAGTAATCTTTGAATTGCCTTTTTAGAATCAACAGTTTGATGTAATGATTAAAATTATTTGTTAATCCATTAAAAAGGACTTTTTGTTTCTCATCCTTCACACTTTTTAGAATGAAATATTCAAAATGCGAGTATCAAAATCAGAAGAGAAACAATTTTTCTGCTTATTAATGTTATAAATGCGAAATTTGGCATACATGAAGAACATAATCTGGAAGAAGTCGTAAGGTATTAATTATTTTTTTTATTCCGCGGGGACGAAGTTGCGGGCAGCAGCTAGTTTAATAATAAACTAGAAGTTTCAATGTTCATATAAAGTCTAGAATAATGTCTAGAATACAATAAAATCTTTATAAGGTTTCCTTTAAGGGAATTGTTTAAATAGCTATCGTATGATGTACGATGTGGGTCACACGGTCTGGCGAAGCGTTCACCACATAACAGTACTGACAGGACTGGTTTGCAAATCAGTTGACATTGGCATTCGATGGTCGACACCTTAGTCTAACAATACCCACGCAAACTACTGTAAACATTGTAAAGGGCAATACTGTGTTGCAATTATCAATTAATTTGAATATATTGTAAATAAAATAAATCACGCAAATAATAGAACCTTTATTAGTCATTTTTAGATCCGGATACGTCCTAACCGTAGGTCTCCATAGATGCAACACTGGATAAAAACTTTTTTTATCTGCTCTTTGTTTCGGCAGTTAAAGATAAATGGAACAATACTAATATGTTTCGTAATAAGTAGCCATAAAAGTTGATATTAAAATTGCACATAACAAATGTAATGTAAATACTTTGTCCGTATTATTCCAACCATTACGTTGGTCCTTGCTATTAAACAAGAGACATCAATTTATCATTACTGGTATTAATCTCAGTATATGTGTGTTATAATTCTAAGTCTACACGTACGACAAATGCTATGTTAGAACTTATAGATCTTCCAACACGACATTGTAGTGACTTGATTATTTATCAACTTAGACTTCTTTGTTAAATTTTTAAGAGTAGCAACTCATATAAATTAAAAAATATTGGGTACAAATGTATAAAATATTATAAATACATATGTTTGGATGTATGGATTCATGTTTGTTAGACCTACAGAACATCGTACAGATCTGGATGAAATTCTGTATAGATATGGAATACATATAGTCAACCAAATATTTTTTTTATAATTTCGCGCAAACGGAGTCGTGGGCGACAGCTATAATTAATAAGTAGTAACTACCGTATGTAAGTTTTGATTGTTGTTTCTTTTAACAATGAACTCGTATTTGTATTAGTGATCTGTTCAAAAAAAATTACAAACGGACCTTCTCAGATTCGACTTATTTATTCGTTATCATGACGTATTGTAATGAATTTCTATGTGTCGTATAATGTTTGTATCCAATGTCCTCGATACCACGTCTGAACCCGTTTTTGCTTTTATGTATGCGTTATCGGATTATAAAAGGGACTAAGTGTCCGTGTGAATGAATAAATCAACGAATGAATGATTGAATGGATACTAATTTATTGCGTACGTGCACGTATCTCATAAATGAATGAATAACTGAACTGCTCAGTTAGCATTTAAATAGTTAAAATAGCAAGACAAAAAAGTTTTTACTTTTTTTCACAATCTTTTGTTTATGTTTAGAAAAAATATGACAACTGTAATTGAATTTGTAATGAAGAATAATAAAACATTTTTATTTAATTCCTATAAATGTGTTTTTGTTCGATACATAATGAAGCCTGCATTGTGAGTGACCTTAACTGAGGTACAAGCTCAAAGAACCTTATGTTTGGAAGTCAATGCCGTTTTGTAAACACGATGACACATAGCACGGCATAACTGGTCTATAGTGTAAAGTTTTATCATCATCTCATTGCCTACTAAAGTTAACATTCATTATTTTTACATCTTACAAACGCGAAAGTTTAAATTAATTTACGGATGGATGATTATTACTATGTCTAAACGGACCACGCTTATATTAGGCTAAGATGTAGAACATAGTCTGGATGAACACATAGGCTACTAAAAAGTTTTTTTTTTAATTCTGCGCGGACGGAGTGATGTGCGACAGACAGCCTTTTATAATTTTGTAACTTTTATATTTTATACTTTGAATTATACAACTGAAGTTGGGTCGTTTGTCGACAGTTTCACGTCTTTAATATATAATGTTTATTGCAATTCTATTCTTATAATAGTTATGACGTGTTTATGGTGACGCGATACGTGACAAGGATTTGATTGTTTATTGTTTTGCGTCTATGCAAACCGGTGTCGTACAACTTGGTTGTGTGAATGCGTCACGACCAACTTTCACCTCGTATCACTGAACTTAAGGAACAACGTTGTACTCTTGCACGCTATTGCTACGTTTTCCCTTCTTTATCGTACTACCTACTAGTCATATACGAGTAACGTTTTTAATTTTTTAATATGTTTTTAATAAGAGGAGATATTGATGGCCAGTTTTTTTTGGAACGGAATGTTGATTTATTTTTTATTAAAGTTAACTGCGTTAATTAATCAAACTTTTTGTTTAGTTTTTTTCTAATACGATAAATTTTTAACGTTGTACGGTAGTGAAATTTAGAAGTTATGTACAAATTATTACAATTTAACAACATTATAAGAGTGGTTATTAAAATTGTTGGCAAACATAAATTGCATTAATTCTTGTCTGAGTAATTTGAGTAGATGTTGCGTTCGCCAAGTTGCTGGTTTATTTAGGTTAATGTCTTTAACGTGCTCTAATAGATTAATAATAAGATAATCTATACATAAATTAATAATTTAATTTAATAATTAAGTTGACAAAATGTACCTTTACGGTGCATCATTTGAGTTTTTAAATATTTTGAAATATATCACGAATTTAATATGAAATATTTAAGCGTACAATTACTTAAAAGTGAGGTAATAGATAACTTAGTCACACTTGGAACTGCGCCAACTTTAAAAGAGCTTTGGTAAGGAGGTGCAATTAAGTAAGTAGCGACAGCTTTATTATTATTCGAATAATGTATTTTATCGAGTAATATTTTTATACCTTTTAAAATAATTGGCGTGAACTCACCATGTTCGTTTAAATTAAATCTTAACCCATCATTTTAAATGCATAAAGTATCGTTGCTTAAGTTAAAATAGAAATTTTATTTATAGAATATTACTTACTACCGGTTGAAGTCTTCCTTTGAAAGTTTTTAACAATCTTTATTAGTTATATTTAGTCGCCCTATTTTATAACGTAAATACGCCCCTAAGTATTACTCCGGATGTGCCGCGGAGACATGCGGGCTCGGAGTACATTAAATATCCTGACAAAAGTTTGAAGACGTGCTTTATTAGTTTCATGAAATTCTATTGAATTAACTTTCTGTAAGTACTCGTGAATAAGTCTAGTAGTGTACAAAACACTCAAAACAGTTTAAAACGTCTTCGAGAAATGTTTTGTAACTAACAATACTAAATACAAATATAAAGCAGCGTGAATAAAAGTCATCGTACCATTTTTTTTTATTACCAAGGTTACCTTTACTAGCTGTCGCCCGCAACTCCGTCCGCGCGAAATAAACATAACTAAATGAGTAGCTTTGCCAAATTTCACCAAGATCTGTTGAACCGTTCCGGAGATACCTTCAAACATCCATCCATCCAAACATACGCATTTATATTATAATATAAGTATGATACTCGTAATTCGAATACCGACAAGTTTATAAGTTCACGTTTTCCATTTTTGCCAGTTCTTGTTTAACAATTCTAAAGTATTCTTCTTCAGTACTTTGATATTCATTGTCACCTACAGACTTCTTTTCCTCTCTCTTCTCCCCGCCTTCTTCACTGGCAGACTCCCCTACAGATTGGATCTCAGGCAGCTCGTCGCGATGTTTCAAATGGATCTCTTTCAGGCGCGCGTCCAAAATATGTTCACGTCTCGTCTCCCGATCATAAATTTGATGGACGAGTTGTTTATCGCGCTCATCTGGATACGTCATATTATCAGACAAATTAAGCAAATACGTCGTTCCTTGATCGTCACCTATCGCTACCATCTGTCCTTTTCTATGGGGCCTCAGTTTAGTCAGTCCATGTTTAGAGACTTGTAACGTTGCTACAGCTTCGTTAAAATTACGTAAAATATCCCAATAATAAAAGAATCCGCCTTCACATATGGCCATATAGCTAGAATGTCTTAGCGGAGCCCACGTGACATCGGTAACTTGGTTTCGGTAAGGTTTGGTGACTATTATAGGCGCCGTTCGCACCTCTTCGCTCCATATGCGAACGTTCCAATCCCCACATGTTATAAACATTCTTAACGTACACGGACTTCTATGAATCGCGCGGACCGGTCCCGTGTGCGCCTCCCAATATGATGTCAAGATCTCCGAGTGACTCCTTCCCATACGGTTCGCATTAATAACTAATCCAGACTCTGTCCCGCATAAAAATTTGGTTGGCAGTCCTCGATCAAACTGTAACGAGCTTACCCCTTCAGCATTAGACATATTAGGAGTTTCTCGTGGAGAAAATCTCACCGACATCGGCAATCTATCTATTGGTGTTGATAAATTTCTTGTATCCCACCAAAGGCAGTAGCCGTCTAATGAGCCTGTGAAAAACTCAGTATTTGTTCTAGTGTGTGTGAAAAGTAATCCAGATACAGGTCCAATGTGAGAATTGTAAATAGAACTTTTTGATATTGCATCATGACCTTTACGGATGTCGAATATATTAACGGTGCCATTTTCAAGGCCCGCTATCAATATTTCAGACTGTGCCGGGGAACACGCTAATTCCCAGCAAGGATATTCTGGTAGCAATTCGACAAGCGGTGCGGTTTGTCGTTGTATATCCCATATGGAGAAATAATTAGGTTTGCTCGACTTGTCGCCTATGATTTTTTGACAGTACGCAATGGCTAAACGAGTTGGTTGTTCGTTAGTCCATACAATGCATGAAACTGGTCGGGCATGAGGATCATAAAATGCGTTAGCGATTTGTAGATTATACTTTTCAACAGGAGGCTGAGGGGTCATATCAGCAAAATACGTTTGATACATATCTATGGCATTATTTTGATCAATATAATGTTCTACTTGGGGGTGAAGGCTAGTGACAGTGTTGACGTAACCGTCTTCGTGTTGTACGCGTCGTCTATACCTCGTTACATGATCTTCGTTGTACGGATGGACATCACGCGGCCAGCCACCTTCCGTATGATTTATGCCTTGTTCGTGAATAACCAATTCCTTTGTGTTCGCATCGTGTTCCGATTGCGGCATTGTCGCTTGCACCTCTCTGTGTACCGGGTTGCGGAGTATATACCGTCTTTGCTCTTCTTCGTTTGGATATATCGAGTATAATATTTGTGCGGGCACTGCTTGGAAAAGAGGTTGTCGTCCAAATTCTCTTCTCTTCTTTGAATATTCGTAACGTGATTTCATATATTTTGACATTTTTTGTTTGTAATTTTATTTGAATATGATTGCAATTTTAATATGTTTTGTAAACTTTCACAATTGCTTAATGTTTTTTTTTACTCAGGTAGGCTAAGAAATGAAGTATTAGCGATTTACCATATTCATAACCAAATTGCGGTATATCTATCCGGTGTTGCAAGCCTTAAGTGATTTTTTTATAATATTTATGTAATTTGGGGTTGTTAAAGATTGCGAAATGATTGTTTACGTTTCCTCGGCACACGACTGCCGCATTGTTCTTGAGTTCAACAGGAAGTGTCGCAAAACGTTCCAATGCGTATTGGAATTTTTGCGATTCATAAAACTTACATTTTTATTGTTTTTGCTTACCACAATGGAAATATTGACAATAGTAAGCATCTTTATTAATTCGTTAATGGCTTTATCTTATTTAAAAATAATTTATTGATGTATAAATTGTATTGTCATTTAAGTAAAATAAATGAAAGATATCTTACCGTTGAAAGGTAAATCCAACCTCCAATAAGAATGTAGGTACACCATAAAATATAACATCACATATTTACACTTCACTAATATCGTTCACAAAAATATAGATATTTGCCAGCAGGATCACTGCACTTTTCTTTTTAATTTACAAATATATTCGAAGTGGCTAAAGGTGCGCGCGCGCAGACAGACACAACCGCACCGAACGACGACTGACGCGTGACTGGCAAACGCAACTAGAAACGGAGTAAACGCGACGCGGGCGCATGTTATCGACAAGTAGAATAGGTACTAGGACTGGTTTGGTTCGTACGTGTTCTACCACTGATGTAGTGACTGATGCCTGTAGGTTTTCTATTGACGGCTGTACTATGTAGTAACTTTAGCATAAAAACTATGGCCCTTTACGGCAAAACCTGGTTACTATCTTCCACAGAAGAAATTCCGACGACCTTGCGGTACCATCTAGTTGCTAAACATGAGGACATTTTTATCCGGTAACAATTTACTTTATCGATTCGTCATTTGTTTCCTTTAAATTAAGGTCAATAGAAATTAGTTAGTACAAGAAATGAGGTAAAGTTGACACTACAAATAATTTTAGTGGAATGAAATGACGTTAGAAATTATTTTATATATTAACTAGCTGTAGCATGTGACTCCGTCTTCGCGAAATTAAAAAAAACGTAATAAGTAGTCTATATTCTACATATATGCTAAATTTCGGCGAGATCCGTTCTGGACATACCACCTAACAAACATCCATCCATCCATCTTAATATTCGCATTTATATCAGTAGGATTTAAAGAAAATGTTGAGGCTAGTTCGTAATGTCGCAGCCGTCCTACATTACGAACTAGCGGTCAGGGTTGTGTCAAGTGATCAACGAAAGCCCTAATTGAGTTTTGTCCACTTTTAAAATTAACATAAATATTTTGTGTAAGTGGAACACATGACCTATTTTTTATCGTTTGCTTTATTATAACCGTAGCCTTAATTGCTAAAACACCTGTAATATAAATGTTATTTCTCACTCTTTAAATAATTAAATAAGAATATTTCGTCCGTAGAAATAAATAATAAATTTTATGTGTACAAGGCAATAAGCTACCATGGTAAGCAAGGGTGCCACTAAAGAACAACTTTTGATGTCATTTCAGCTATTTCCATGCTTCCTATGGCATTCTATAAATTTACTTTATTTAAATTTCCTAATATTTTATTTGTTTTTGTGCCTTAACACATTCTTCCTAATAACCGCATTTCTACGCTAATAACTTTACGCATAACGATGATAAGCAATTACAGAAAGTTAATTCTCACGACCCCGCTTATATTCTTGTTTCTAGAGCAACTTAGCTACATTACATTTATTTGACTAGTTAGTTTATTACACAATATTATTTACAATTTTTACGAGAAATTGACGTCATGAAATGTAGGCGTTATGATATTGTGCAGTAGTAGTACTTCATAGAAAATAATTTACTATAATCACATTTTTAAACTGATGTGGAGCGTTAAAGGTGTGAATATAGATTGAGACAAAAGGAGCAAACGATTAACATTTTAAGTTTATGTAATGAGGAGAATGACATTTGGAGGAATAGTTGGCTAGCATAAAAGTAAGAAGGTATACGAATTGCGTAATTCCTGATATGATAATGAAGTGACGAATGTTCTATAATACGAGATTTTGAAGACGTAAACACACACAACGGTGATGTCTTGACGTCACATTAATCGAAAACAGGGCGACGATGAGAGTGTAACAGTATTATATTAAAATACAAGCGTTTAATTGCGGTCAAGAGTTAAATGGTGTAATTGTTCATTAGACGAGCGATGGTCACAAACGCCGGCTGTTTGTCTTTATTACCAATTGACTTGAGACCTGGCCTCTAGACCGTGGCATTCGAACCATTAATGCTATTTAAAAATTAAAATGTAATAACTAAAAATATATATATACATCGAGTTGTTTAAGTTAAAATTAGGTTCGTTGTAAATAAAATTCTGGCTGTATCAAATAAGTCTTAGATTATAGATTTATTATTTGGTTTAAACTTGACCAAACTTATTCATGACGATCAAACTTACCTAAAACTTACACGATAGTCGATAGTCCTGCTGCTTCATTTATAACTTCTTCCCCAAGTTCCTGTATTTTATGTGGTCGTAATTACTTTATCTTTTAATTAACACGTTGCGTTATAACTATTTTAATACAATAAGTTTAAAGGAATATTTAAATACGTGTTTGATTATACGAGGTCAGCGCTAACAGGTTAGTGTCATTTGTCACGTTCAGAAATAATTAGTAACTGTTCATAAAACAATGATGGTTCACAGAAATTATTTGCGACAAACAACTAATTTGTTTAAGGAAACATACTTTATGACGTAATAGAAAATCTTAATAATATTATAAATGCGTATGTTTCGATGGAGGATGGATGGATGCTTGTTTCAAGGTATCTCCAAAACGGCTGAACAGATCTTGATGAATTTTGGTATACATATAGAACATAGTCTGGAGGAACTCATAACTATGTTTTCATAATCGACGAATATAATCCAAATACGACGGTGACGGAGTCGCAGGCGATAGCTAGTATGCTATACAAGTAAAATGCTAAACCATGCGTTGCCCGCGGCCGCGCCTGACGTATCGTGTCATCCACTCGCTAGTTCTATAGAACTCAATGAATTCTTTTCACTCACAATGAACAATGGTTCGTGCCAAAGAGACGATGTGCACGCAGAATGATGCTTTGTTAAATTAAATGTCCATAACATAATTTAGACACATTTTGATCGTTATATAACGATTTATAATTTTTACAACAAGGTTATTTTTGTGATCAATTTCAACTACGTTACTTGAGACTAAAGAGTTTACATGTGTTTATAGACTCCAGATATCCACGCAGAATTAGCAAAAAATCAGTAATAATAAGTATAGCAAACAAACAATCAAACTTTTCTCTCTTCATAATATTAGTATAGATGATGAAAAGAAGATAACTATGCGTGAGTAAATTGAAAATCGATATTCGCACGCTACTCGATTGAGATCAATATTATTGATTCGAGAATAGAGTTTCGTTAGTTTATGTAATTCTATTCGATATTTAGAAGTAGAAAGTATTACATAACATTGCATTTGTGGCTTTAAAAATAACATAACTCTAATGACTCATCTTTTTAGTTACACTTCTTGTATACACTGTTTTTACTTTTTTCTTTTTTCGTGCCATTCTGTCATCAATAGGTATTCTAATTTCAATAGTTGAAAAGCACGATATTAAAAAATGAAACTTGTATCACTTGAACTTGAACTCAATGGACGGCTCAAAAGATCTTGATGAAAGGCACAGATGTAAAATATAGTCTGGAAGAACACATTGGCTACTTAGTAAGTTTTTTTTTAATTCTGCGCAAAACGAGTCGCGGACGACAGCTAGTTTTCTATATGTGTCTAGAATGTAAGATTTTTTTTTTACAGGGAAAAATATAAATCTTTTAATGACTCCCAACCATAAATATTCATAAAGGTAAAGTGCGATGTGGATTTAAACCGACGTTTCACATTTGCTTAATGAGGTGTGTGTGAAATTCGGTTTTGCAGGATAAAAAAGAAATTGGAGCACCGGGGAAAATGTTCAGCCGCAGATCGTGGATTGAATATTTTTCAAATATCGCTTAATGTTGAGGAATATATTTCTACGCAGACAGTGATTTTAAACCAGGAATGTAAAATACATGAATATTGACGAAAAGAATCAAAACAAGGAAAAAAATCTTTAAACCTCTAGTTTCGACAAAGATACATATATAATTGTAAAAGTACTTATAGATTTACTTCTTTTTTTTCCATCTTTAATTGAATCTTGTTCTCGGCGAAATTATTCAACCTGAAAATGTCTAAATCAGAACCGTATAAATTGTGTAAAACGAACGAATTGTTGATTTTACCTTGCAAAGTTGCAAAAATGTTTGCCGTGTAATTTTATATTTCAAGATGGTTCACTTATAAATTATTATTGTGAAGCAACAAAGAGTAAAGAGAAATATTCAAGATATAGATGGATGGCAACTATTTATTAGATTCGCCTGTTTATTTGTTGCTATTAAAGATAAATATTTAGTTTAAACTATCAACAAACTGAAAGTATTCTATCTCAATTAGGAGTAGAATAAAAAACAAATGACACCTCACTATTTAAAATGGGTAAACCCAGAGAACATAGGAGTTGTAAAAATGTTATCATTTACTGTCGCCTGCCGTGGGTCTCCGAGACCAAAATCCCCGTTTAAACATATGTTTCATAGGTTGTCTCTGTTTTGTCTAAGATAAAGACAGGGACAACGGTATGTTTTATACAGATTTTGGTCTCAGAAACCAACGGGTAATTATATGTGCTAAATTATATTCTCATCTGCGATGCAAAGCGCTGGCCCTTTTTACCGTAGAAGGACAGTTGTTTCACCCTCTTTATAGTACCGCTTATAGGATTACATGTATTATACTTCAAGGATTACATTAATCATTTTAACTTTCATTATTAAATATGCAGTTTGAAGTTTTCTATATTTAATTAAATGAGAAAACAGTAAAACATATAATTAAGAAGTAGTAAAATTGAAAACATTTGCGGTGCGGAGTGAGAGCGGAGTCTTAGCTGGGAGATTAATGCGACAAGTTTGTACGTGGACGCGCTAGTTTCTAAGAAAACGTTCAAAGTACGATAAAACTTTACAATAGTTTCTGTTTCAACTTCAAGCTAACAACGTTAATGTTGTTTTAATAATTGAACCAAGAGTAATCAAAAAGGAGGATGCTATTTGTTTTTAATTTCTAAAAAGGGTAAAGATGGACTTTTAAAGGGAAAGAAAAAGAGTAAAAAAAGTAATGGATAGGTACCATTTCAATAATCACTAATAAATAAAAACTCAAGGTAAATGAGACTCATAGGATAACAACTTAATCTTTTGTTCATTTGTCATTAGAGAAAACAAAAGTGAACATTACATATTTTTAGTAATGATACTAGGATTGCCCGCGACTACGTCATTGCAGAAAAAAAACCAAGTTCCAGTAAAAGTTATGCTAGGTTTAGCTTTAAAGATTTTTATTTTCTCATAAAAAACACAAAGTTTCGCTTATAATGAGAATAAATTAAAAATACGATGTTAAATCGTTCCAG